AGTGATCTGATCCACCTCAACATCCTGGACCCTGAGCTTGAAGGAGCAGAAAGTCAGAACGATGGCAATGAAAGAGACTTTTGTTTTGCAGACAAGACCAGAGGGACCCTGTGTGTGTGTGTGTGTGTGTGTGTGCTTGTGTATGAACCATGTCAGCCATTAGGGTGAAAAGGTCAGTGCTGTTTCAGCGCTTAGCATGTACCGTTAAACTTGATTGACCCAGAAAAGGACTGAGTGGGGAAAAAACAACTGTATGTACTATCATAACAACAACAGAGAAATTGGCCATCGTCCACTCTTTAGATATATACTGTCATGCAAAATAGTTCCTCTGTCTGTTTCTTTGTGCAAATCGTTCTGTCAAATTGAGTCTGATCGTGTGCGTGTCCATTTAGAAATATTGTGTGAAAAGACTCATATGATCAGCTATCGGTCCAGTTAAGGGTCTGTGGCCGGCGTGGTGTTTGTCTGTATGTGCTGAGGTCAGCAGGAAGTTCCCACAGACCCTTTGAGTGTAAAAACAGCTGTGTGTGTGTGTACGTGTGTGTGTGTGTGTGTACGTGTGTTGGAGAGGCAATTATAGGATTGGTGGTGGGGCGGAAAACAAGGGCAGTGGGTCATTGCTGAGATTGAGGGGGGAAGGGGTTGTTGCACCTTTTGCACAACCGCTTCGACGCCGTGACTCTGCTTCCCATGGTGATTTCTGTGAGATTGACAACTTTCTTCCTCCACAAAATTACACTTTGATCTATTGTGCCCCCTTCTTCTGGAACAAGCTCCAATCCACACTTAAAACTCGTCTTTTAGCCTTAACTTTCACTTAGTTGCATATTCTTTGATTACTTCAGTCCTTGTACCTGTTACCATTAATCTATCAAGCCTTGAACGTGTAGTTTGGTCTGTGGTCTATTCTGTAAGACCACATCTATTGCATGTTTATCCGTCCTCTGCAGCTCGCCCTAAGGTTTTTTGGGGGTAGGTTTTTTTGAAATTTGAGCTCTGTGATATTTGGCTGTATAACTGACTTGACTTGAGTGTGGGGGGGGGGGGGGGGGGGGGAACCGGAAAAAAACGGTGGGGGAAGGGTTTTTGTGCAGAGCTGGGTGTAAACAAGAGGGCTTGGCTCTGTTTGGGGTCCAGTATCGGATAAGAGACAGATTATGGGAGTGGTTACAACCCTACAGACAATATAGGAGCTCACAAATAGCCATGTTTATGCTGGCAGTGGCCCTGAACAAGGACATTCGTTCATACTAAATGATATGGCCCGGGTGAACATCAGAGGGAGCCTGGAGACAAACTCATGGGAGAGAAAAGCATTCTTTTAAATAAAGTCTTAATCTGTATTGTACAATGTCCATTTTAAGGCATTTCAAATTGTATGTCTTCCAAGGCTTTGGACAAAAGTGTCCAACAAATGAATGTAATACAAAATGTAATTTTCTCACACTTGACAAAGCCACCTCATCAGCCACAGACAAACAACAGTTTGCACAGAAATGACAAGTGAACTGATTTTGACGTGGAAAACCTGTGGATTTCTCCTTTTTAAGTCTGCAACACTTAAAAGAAGCTGCAAAGTTTCCTCCTCAGACTGGAGTGAGGAAGCAGCTTTGTGCTCAGTGTTGCCACTGCTGGCCAGAAAGTATATTGCAAAAATACTCACAGACTGTTGTAATGTCGCCCTTTTGCCACCAGTGGTCATGTATGATGTTCCTAAGTTTTGGGTGTTTGAGTCATGTCAATTTTGGGGTGCGGTATATGAGTACGTTGGCAAGAAATGCATTTACATCTAAAGGTTCATGCTAAGTTGAGGAGAGGAGTTGGTTTGGAGCAAACGGAAGCATGGGAGTGGCCTGGTCAGGGGGTGAAAGGACAGAGGTGCAGGGGTCAGAGGTCACACCGAGGCGAAGGGGGAATGAGTTCGTAAGAGGTTCTTTGAGGGGCAAGCGCTTTTGTTTAGCCTCCAGATTTATTTTTGCGAAGCATGCAGAGGTTGTTCTATACAACAACATCAACAAAACCTCTCCTGTTTCGTGGGAGCATGTTATCCTCATAGTCCTCCTGAGTTTATACAGCTTTGCCCTCAGGATCCCACGAGATGTCTCATCATTAGAGAGGTTTATATGGGATGGGAGATACTCTATGTTCATACATAATGCATCATATATAGCGTGTCTTATATAAGACGAGCTGGCGAAGCTTCCCTCCCACACTCTCAGCTATAGCGCAGAAACATGGGCGCTCAAAGGGGGTTCAGCCCACACGAGCGCTGACGAACATACACTTTTAAAGGCCTCCCAGGGAGGCATCTCTCCGACTGCACGCAGGCAAACAATAACATGACTTCATATGCGAGGCCCACGTATAGGGGAGCATGCAAGGATCTGTAACGTTAAGCATTAATGATATATATCATTTATCATGGGGATATAACATGTCAGAGGGATGTCATGCATGGGCCTCAGATCAGATCAGAGGGAGAGCACCGTGGGGTATTTATCATTTTGTGGGAGTAAGGAAGAGCTCTGTGTTGAGGGGAACTCAGACGGTCACTCCCCTGGCAGAGAGGCACACTTTGAGAGGAGTCGTGTACAACATACATGTATCTGTACCCTTATTTGTGTGACTGAAACGCACACAAATGATAGTGAAAGTACATGGCAGAGTTGTCGGATTAGTGCATTATGTGTGTATCCAGGTAAAAGAGACTGAAGTATCGCAATGTTAATGTACTTTGAGTACAGTCGAGAGGACGGAAACATTTCACAACATCGTGTGAGGCTGATGCGTAGGTCGCATCCACAGACACGGCATTAAGGACACAAACTCTCTCCAATGATGCATGCAGCATATCATTTTGGTAATTTTGTCATGTCTGGCATATGCATCATGCAATAGGCACATATCAAATGTTTAATTTATACCAAATTCCTATTCAACACATGCCACACTTAGGCTGATGTTACACTCATGACGGTGCAAGTGGCGCTGATCAAATCTCCTACATAGCACTAGCAGGTGATCATGTTGTTGATTCAGTAAACAGACTTTATTGAGAAGGAGAGAGGCCACCGACATATACTTACTCTGCTGTGTTACTGAAGCACACATCCAATGCACATACTGTAACAACCCACAGGGTACATAATGTAATGAGACAATGGCGCCCTCTGCCTGTGAACTTAAAGACAGCAATTTCCTAACAGCAGATGTTGTAACGAGGTATCACTTTGCGCAACATGACAGCGTAATAGAGTGAAATTGGGTGACATGGGCTATAGAGGTTTTCTTTTGAAGCATATTAAAAGGAACAGAAGGACTGGGAGGGTAATATGATGAAGGACGGAAGAGGGTGTTGCGAGACATTTCTTGAGAAGTTTGCTTTAATTGTGTATGATCTACTGGAGCAAATACAGCTCATTCTTTAGTTGCACTAATTGTAAGTCAACAACTAAGAATGAACTAAAATGGAGAAAGTAAGAAAATATCCATAACATAATGGAGCACACACGAAAATTTGTTTTCTTTTCTTTTTTATCCCCACCTGAGATCACACCTCTCCTCTGGAAAAGAGCTTACTATTGTAGAAACTACACCACAATTACAAACATAGCTGCACAGGTGTGTCAAATTAGATTGATTGCCACAAGAGGCGGTACTAGCAACCTGAACATACTTATTGGAGCTTTGAAATTACATTTTGTGCTATTTCTACACAAACGTGGAGCATACTGCAAAGGTTTACAATTTCTACTTATACATGTTAACAATGTATCTCAAATTCATTTAAAACCATATCCTATTGTGACACAGGCCCAAACAATCAGCTGCAAAACCTCTGAAGGAGCTCGATTGGGGTAAAGTCCTCTCAAGCGGAGATGTAGAGAGTGGCTGTGATTTTGTACAACAATCAGTGATGGTGTCCTTCACTAGTAGGCGGAGTCAAAGAAAAAAGAAAAGGGGAAATCTCTGACCTGGCTGAATGATGAATGTAGGTAACTGTTAAAAGATAGAGACCAGCTGCTTAACAGAGCCTTGAAGTCTGGTCAAACTGGCAAAACATTAACAAACTAATCAAACAAAACTGAATAAAAGAGAATTCAAACTCAAAATGAATAATGGATTAGTGAAATATCTGATTACCCCAACTCCAATACTTGTTTCTTAAACTCTGTCCATGAAGTGACAAACATTATCGGTGCATTGAAAAGCTCTAAAGCTGAGGATGCCTATGGGCTTGACAAAACAGCAAACAGTTGTTCATTCAGCTTGCAAGGTGGCCCCGGTTACTCCAACCTTCAAATCTGGGGGTAAACACGGACTTGGCTAACTATCGGCCAATCAGCATCCTCTCAACTATATTTTAAGTTGCTGAGCCCTTTGCATTTTAAGGCGTCAAACACCGTCAAATTTAATTTACCACATTTTAAGCAAATCAGGCCATTTCTGACTGAAATAAATCATTTATCGTCACCTGTAATGTCTGATTTTGTTACCTGCCTAGGGACAACGGATGTAAATTAGCATTATTGCTAACTCGGGCATGTTAAGGTTCCTATCAAATAAATACAACAATGTGATTGGAGTCACCAACTTTGTTTTTCATACAGAATTGTTTCTTAGAAGCAATGAAATTACTGTTAAAGGACATTCCTATAAACTGTAAGATGAAGCTAAGGAAGGCACAGCATCATAACACAAGCGTGTTCATTAGTCGTAGTCATCTGCTTTCAGCCAACCACATGAGCTAAACCAGCGCGAGTTGGTTACATTAGTGAAGTTAACACCCTATCATTTCTTTCAAAGTGGTTGTATAACGGTGAGATTAACATCTAGGTTCATGCTGATGACGTTCAGTTGATCCACAGCTGTTACCTGTTCAGAGTATACCGTGTACTGTACTGTATACATGCACATACAAAAAAACTACACAGCAGTACAAATATCATTAGCACAAAGAAATAACTACATAAAACCGCCAAATATAACAGAACACACACCGCTACCAATATCATTTATTTTAAGAAATATTATTGTTACAATGGTCATTAAATTAAGATCTTTGAGATTATTCCCTACACAAATATTTACACATTTCACAGTGAATTTGGTACATTTGGTTACAATATAACAATAAGAAGCATCCTCAAACCCTGTTATTAATAATCATTTTTTCAGAAAAAAAAACTCCGTCTGAAAGGAACAAAAGGAATCACAAAGTCATGTCTGTTTAAAACCAGGAATACAATCATGAGATTAAGGCAGGGAACAGGTGATGGAAACTTAGCCTCCCAAAAATCTGGGCTATGATATCCATTTCTGTCAGCAACAGTGCAATTAGGCAACACTATCACAGCCGAGTCTGTGGGCGTTACAGATAGAAAGTTTGATAGTACACCGATAACCAAATGGAAGTCCATTTGAATCAGTGCACTCTACCTTTTACTTCCTTCCTTCCCAATAAGCGTCTACATTGCAGAAATGCGAGCAAACAAAAGGTCCAAGCTTCACATTCCAGCTCAGGTCAGACCGAAGTTTCACAGCATCTCCTCTTCTCTTGTAGCATCTTCTGGAATGTTTTTTTTTTTTTTAAATTCTAGTAGGCAAATGTGAAGAACAAGCTTGGAGGTGAAAGCTATATAAAAAAACGACCTCAGCCCAAAGACGCTCAAAAGTCATGCGAGTACAGGAATGTCAGGACGCCGGCAATCACAGCGAGGTCTCGGGTCAGTTCTGCCTCTGAGGCACGCAGCCCTCCATCTCCAGCACGTCGGGCCATCCCTCGAATTTGTTGGTGTCTCCGTTGTTCTTTATATGCTGGGGAGGTAAACACAACACATTGTGTTTGCAATGGTATCCTGGTTGGACAGGAACTAAGAGGCAGAGTGTGTGTGCCGTTCTTGTGAAATAAAACGATACGACAGCAACGACAACACACTTTCTCAACAACTGGTGTGAACAGAGCTGAGTAAACTTGTTCTGCGGCTTTAAGAGTAATAGATTTTGCTTATCTTTAAAGATCCGGATTTTCTCCAACCCCCCCCCCCCCCCGCCTACAATGATTGAACACAGGGCTGTGTTCTGTCTGAATGCCCTTTAAGGCCCGAGCGCAACACACCTTTTTAAATCCCCTGGCACTTCCTGAGTGGGAAGGAAAATACTATGCCGACATGATACCAGGTCCACTTTGTGAAAACCTCTAGAGTAGTATAGAGACAAGGATACTGCTGTTGCTTACAAACTGTGTCATACTTCACTTAAGGGAGGAGATGTAAACATGAACACGTGTGTGGGTCGTGTTACCAGCTCAAATGGACTCTTGGTCTTGATGCCTTTCCCCCCCACAAAGACCCAGTTGTCGCGGAAGCCCAGATTACTGATAGCCGTGCTGCCCAGATCAGCAATTAGCTTCTTGGCTTCATCGTTGAGTCTACGGAACACAGAAGACAGATATTATTTCATGGCCACACAGACAGTATCAGAGAGAACTAAAGCAATTTATATTCGTCCTGTGGCTCTAAACTGTATCAGTCAGCAAGGGGGCTGTTGTGGAGAAAGTCCTTACTTTGTGGATGGATCATCAAATGAGGCCATCATGACGACGGTCCCTTCCTCGATTACCTTCAGGAATTGAATGAAGGGAGCCACATCTACACAAGGTAACACGTGGTAAACACAATGCCTACATTTTCTTTTAATTTCTAAAACAAAAAAAAGGTTCTGAAATATTCTCACCTCCTCCCCACATATCAAAAAAATCGGTCTTGATGACTTCTCCTGTTCTCCCTGTGGGGAAAAGAAAATCCAATTTAGAACACGTCAAATCTAATGTTGAGTAAAAGAGATTTACAGTTTTTAATTTCCGTTAGTACAGAATGTGGGTGGTGGTTCTTTGCTATTCATTCGAGGTTTACCACTAGGAGTGGCACATTTTGGTTTTGAAACGGACAAGAGGAGCCACACCCTTTGCCTCCGATATGAAAATAGCTGCTGTATTATATCGCTATCATTAATCAAAACTGAGTTCAAGGTGCGCAATTGGGCTGATAGCGTTACCATTGACCAGGGCGATGTTGACTCCTCTCCCCACGTTGTTCTTCACAGCGCTCATTATTCTAAAACGAGAACAAAAGAGGACAATGAGAACAGAGACCTTTTCACACGTACAGCACATGGGGCTTAAAGACACTTCCTGTACAGCCATGGAGGTCCCGCCATGTAGCATTTAGAAGCTCTAACACACGGTAGAAGCTGTTGCAAGCATTAATATTAATGCATTTGCAACACGTGCTCCTGTGTTTACTAAAAGTTTTAAGATGTTACTTTAATTACAATTTGTCCTCCAGGCAGATTCTGGGTCCCACCACACTGGCCGCTCCACTCGCCATCCTGAAGGCGAAGTGTCCGAGTGGACATGCCTTGGACAGCCCACACTTGTACCTGACTGGCTTCGCTGCTGTGAATAGAAAACGGCATGTTAACTGGCCTGTATTCACCGTTTCGTGTCTTCGTCTTGTTGGTGTTTTGTTTTTTGTCGTGTACAACAATGCTGTTCTGTTACTATTTAGTCTTTTGACTTGCAAATACATTTTGTCTACCCACTTTGGTATATTGAGATACAGCAACCAGGAACATGTTTTGATGAGTCACTCATCGAAATATGTCTCACAGGGTTGAAAGAATACCAGCTGTCTCTAAAAATGAAATAATAATAATTTAAATATACTTACAGACTTCATTGGATGGCATAGATCTTGCTGAAAAGCAAAGAAAGTATATATTAAATGGGTTTTTTCAGTGGACACCTCTATGGCAGTCATTTAAATGAAGCTCTGTCGAAAAACTCACTTCCCTAAACACACACATTGTAAGTACGCGGAGGCAGACAACGAGCATATTTGGTTTCTGTAACGTGAACACAAAAAGGACAAGGCCCACTAAGCCTACTGCACAATAACTCAATGCAGGTGTCGTGTTTCCTTTACAACAGTTAGAAACAGTTTCATCGGAAGCTGTGGTGAATTTCATCTTGCAAAGAAACGTTGCTCACAAATCATGTTGCCAAGCTTGAAGTCCATGTTTATCTCCAGCAGCTGAAAAGCCATGAAGAGGACAAGGAGGAAGGCAAAGATGACCGCTGCCAACTTCAAAATACCTGGATGAGAGACAAATGGATAGATGGATAGGATGTTTTAAACATTACACTTATAAAGATTCCCCATGGTGTTATACTGTTGTGTTACAGTGCACACCTTTAAGAGGGACACTCTTACCTCCAGCCCTGGCCATCTTATCCTCCAGCCACTCGTCCAAACGATTAAAAACCTGCGATGATTAAAAAACGAAGCGTCTGTTAACCATTCATCTGTGACCCCGCCCGCGGTCTCCGGGAGGTCACGTTATAACGGACAGTGGCAGCCCCAGTGTGACGTCAACATTAGCTGGCTGCCAATAATTGAAATAAGACATTTGTCCCTATGCCACAGAGAGTATTCCGGTATTCCCGAGTCACTTTAGCTCAACTACAGGCGGCGGGGGTCGTGATGACGCGCCTCTCTAGCGTTGGCTACAAATTGCAACATTTTATGTCAAAACAGACGCTGCGTTGACTCGGCTGATGTGTTCACTTCCTCGTCTCTGCCTGTGTTTGCTACCAGACAGGGAAATAGCTCTGGCAGGGATTCAGTAGCAGTAATACTTTGGAAGTAACGTAAGAGTGTCCCTTTTTGGATGAACACTCACGCCCTGCTTACCTATTCAAATGGCCCCAGGTATCTAGGAGTGATTCACGCCACCACTTGACGGTCACTAGTTGATGTGGTGGAGATAGCTGAGATGGTTAGAGAGCGAAGAGGCGGAAAGATGCGCCACTCTGTCGAAGAAACCGAAGACGACCAAGCCGGCAGCTTTTGTTTGTTTGTTTTAGAGCACTGAGCAGAATCTAACGAGCAATTTGTAAAAACGTAGTTTCAAAATTCTAATCTTGGCACGAGATATCACCTTCATAAGGACCAGATCATTAATGCACCTGTAACAAAGCAAAAACATGAATGTCAACAATGTCTCGTTCATTAAATTTTGGCTTTACTGGTTATTCCAGCTTTTACTCAGTTATTTATTGTAGCTTTATTTGTGATTTTATTTTTTAATTTGCGTATGAAATACGTAATAACTGTTCATCTCTTTATGCTTCCAGAATTAAGCAAATTATAGATACATGGCCACATTTTCTAGACAATTATACCACTGTGGGAAAAAAGCATTTCTTGGAGATGTATGTATAGAGAGAGATCATTTTCTTTCCATTTTGGGAATGAAGAGATCATACTTAGTGGCAATGATCTCTTTATAAGCACAATAAAACGATTTTATCCCCGCTGCATTTGCATGTGAAATTTGCAAAACTCCCCCAACACAGCGGCGTAGGACTCACGGCTAGTTAAATAACATAATAATACGTTATGGACACCTTGCCTGATATCAGACAGTATTGTCAGCTCGTTAAATTCTGCCTCGACTAGAACTCGGTGGAAATCAGGTTTTTGGTATGCGCATGGTGCCAATGGTCCCTGTGGCCAAATATTGCATAACATGTATGAGCCGTCTCGCTGCATTTCTTTTTAACCCTGCAAGATTGGGTAGGTTTTTCATGAGTGAGACATCTTATTCATAAATTATCTTTGCGTCCGTCACACCGACTTCCTCCCTTTTCTTCTTCTGTTCAGTTCCAAACAAACGGGAGACGTTACAGCGCCACCAGTGTTTGAGTAGTTTATTGCGCGTTCAATCCTTATGATTAATCCGATCATGGCATATTTAAAACTGCAACAGACACATAATGATGTTCTATATCTTTTTTTTTTTTTTTACAAATGCACATTTTTAGGATTGTCTTGTTTGTTTTCACATTAAACAGAAAGTAAAAAGGTGGTGCAACACAAAGTAAAATTAAAATAAAAAAGTAAATACTGTACAAATGAATCAAAGAGTAAGAAAAGTAACACAATGAAATTAAGCTAGCTCAATAAATTAGACATTCACATGCTCGTCCTTCAAATCCTCAGAATTTGCCACAAAGGGTGCTCCCATCAAAAATATCGGCGATAAATCCAACAAAAGCCTTTGGCAGTCTTTTTCAGCACAGCTGGCCCCAATCTTGAATATTCAGTGTATCCATAGAATTGTGTCATTCAATAAGATCCTGGTGATATTAGAAGACAAAAGTATTAGTATACATGGGGAAATGACAGGTTTTGAGTTCAGAACAAAATGTTAAAACTGTGATAATAGTGATAATTCCTACATCATCTGATTCCTGCTGGCAGACCGTGCCATTGCTGCTGGTGGCGCTTTCAAGATCGGTTGTGATGCCGTTATCTTCGTCCTGAATCCGGAGGTTGGAGAAACGATATACTGGTGAACTGTGGAGGGCGACATAAAACCAGAATGGTCAGCTACTATTGGGTGCATAAAAGGTCTACATGCAGCACAGACGTGTGTGCGTGTGTGTGTGTGTGTGTGTGTAGCTCACCTGGTTCTGTAAACCACCCTTCTGACAGTAAAGACAGCGGACACGATAGCTACCAGGACGATGACCCCTGCTCCTGAACACACCAGGATCAACACCAGCCTCTCTCTCTGAGGAACACACGCAACAGCTGTTATAGTCATACATACTTCATGAACAACTGAAAGGACACGCACGCATACACTCATTAGAGCAACGCATCTACTGACCGGTGTGTCAAAGTGCGTGACTGGAGACAAGGACCTGGCAGGTGGACCAGGGCTGGGTTTAACACCACAGGGTCTGATGACTGTCTGTACCGCGAGCTGAGGGCTGAATCCCCCCTCACACCGATCACTCGGGACCTTGCGGTACCTACAAACACAGTCAGACGTGTGTGTGTGAGCATGCGCAACAGGAGCGTCTCTTCATTTTAAAAAGAGGTGCCTGTTATTACCCCGCTGTCAGCAGCTCATCCTCCTCTCCATTCAGACAGAGCTCCAAGGTTTTATTTGCAGCGCTGTGTTGTCTCACACACTCCGAGGTGTTCATATGGCGATAGTAACCATAGTCGCTGTTGAAAAGGTCAGAGGTTAGGGCTTCACGGGGGAATGTTCTCCATGCTGTATTAGTTGTTGGCGCCAAAACATGATCTCGTACAAGCTTGAGTTGAGATAAAATTGAATTCTGGATTTGAATAAATCCTAATAACTACATAGACATGGACACAGACTTACCATAAGTAATCTTCTCTGGTGCACAGGCAGGGGCTTTGCTTCTTGCTCACCACGAAGCCTCGGCCATTTCTGCACACAGACGGTTTCTTGAGCCTCCTGTAGGTCTCTTTGACACCCAAGAGACAGCCGTTTCTCTTCAAGTCTCCTCCATTGGTAGCGTGAGCCAACCACTCTTCATAGTCCTCGTCATTACCTGATGAATTAGATGACGACCAATCAGACTGTCACTGGCAATCGTTACATATTTGCTGGTAAAGTGAAACCAAAAAGATGTCAAAAAAGTTAGATTGATTTCCCCTGGAAACACCCTCTCTAATGCATATTTTCCATAACATGATAAAAGTTTAGGCACTGGTTTCAGTCCGGCTGATTCCAAATCCAATCCATCTTGCGGGTATTGTTAACAGTTCTGTCAAACATCATTTTAGTAAAAAATCTGCAACAACAACCTGACTATTTCGCGATCAAATTAAATATTCATGACTATAAAACGCAACAAATAAAATAAAAAAAAACGTCAAGGCTGTGGAAAGTCCCAGGTCATGGGTTGTTGAGTTTCTGTAATAGGAAACTGCTGTTGGGCTCCACCTCACTGGAGACAACTTGATGCACCTACCACCAGATGGTAACATGTGCGAGCCGGGGGCGGAGAATATATATTGTAGCAGACGGCATTATGGCATCTTGACTCACACTCTCTTGTAATGAGGCTCTGGAAATCAATGGTGACGGCCACCCACATGGGCTGGCGGTCCTCCTCGGGACGGAAGCCCCACACGCTGACGTTCATGGCCTTGGTCCCCGGCTCGGACGCCAGGCCTGCAAAGAAGAAGCTCTGGTCCGTGAAGTTGTAGGACTTCCAGCATTGGCCCTCATCTGTGGAGAACCTGGTGATGAGAAATGGTGGCAAAAGTATGCTGTAAGTGTCTTTCTGCCCTCCATTGCCAAATACCACTATTGCGCATGAAGTAAAAATATCTGTGTGGTACTTGATTGTCTTGACTTGTCCTTCACGCTGGGTCTCCACTGCCACAATGAGACCCCCAGAGTCCAATATGCTGTAGTGGTGAGGACCTCTCAGTGTCCCCCTCCAGTTATAACCCCCGTCTGAGGAGACAAACACATCTGGGTGCTGTGACGATGACAGAGAGTCACCCACAGTGCCTGGAGAAGAGAGGAGATCATCTTAGTCAATGTTATTTTTGAGTTAAGATAAAGGATCAAAAGTTAAGGGGAGACATTCCAGGAAAAAACATTACAACTTTTGTCATGCACTTGTCAATTTTAGGATTTTTTGTGTCTTCTTTTTCAAACAAGTGGAAAGAAAACACTTTTTTCTCAGACTCTGAGCCAGAAAAATCTTTATTTCGGTAGCACCTACACCAAACCTTCCAGTTTACTGTCTATATTCTGAAGGTTTTTGTAGAGGGGTTTCTAATTCATGGCCTGATTTATAGAACACTTTATCCCTAAAAACCTGACAAAAATTAAACAACAATTTTGAATTAGGAAATGACATGTGTATACACTTGCAAAAGGGCACATGACTGTATATCTAAACTATGACATTATTTCAAAAATAAATATAGGAACATTGCTCTTCAATTACCGTGAGCTATAACCAGACCAATAGCCGTTGGCTCCGACAGAGCCAGCATGGGAACGATGCGGATGTTGCGACTGTGCTCTCCATGAATATGAAGGTTGCACTGATTTTAAAACACACACACACAAGGAATGTTTTAGTAGCAAACATTGACTCATTTGTAGAATATGATGTTACTATGCACATGCAGACTGGAATTCGATATTTCTACATCCAACATACATTTTTGACTTGCTCTCCACATTCCACATTCTCAGGTTTGTTGAGCTGTCTCCACGTCCCTCCTCTGTTAAAGGAAATGACAGATCTTATACGGCCATCTGCAACAAAACACATGACCGTGTATAAACAAGCGGTTTGATGTAAGGAAGGTAGTTCAAACCTTTAGATTAAATACATCAGCTGATGAAACTATCATAATAGACACATCACTTTTCTTTACCTACTCAGGGTCAAAGGATAAGGCTGGCATTATTCTATTTTTTAATTGTCAACAAAAAAATTCCCAGTACAACTGAAGGAATAAGTCTTTAAAAATGTCTACCCTCGTCTAGTTTATTAGTGAGGTAGACTCCTCTCAGTGAAGTTATGTTGGAGAAATCGCTCTTCCTCTGCCCATCAAACAGGTGGCGCTCCAGCGATTTGGAGAATAAGATGCCTCGGTCATCTGATGTGTACATGGTTCCAAAGAAGGTGTCTGTGGTGAAACAGAATGCAGCAGACAGAAACAAGGAACTTTAGTCTCTTACAGTAAGACCAAGGGTCAAAGTTAGCCAGTAGCCTATTTAGTTATTTAATGAAAATACATTGTTGTATTATTTAGGAATGATTGTCTTTGGTTAGGGTTAGTAATAGCAATGTCTCTAATTGAATGTAGTGAGGATTTATTGATGTTAAAAAGGTGCAAAAGGCCAGATTATTAGTTTAAAACATTTTAAAAATGAACTAACGTTATCAAAAGAATGTGAAGAAGTACTTTTAAAAGAATGCCAAAATACGTCAATGTATTGTGCTGCAGAGATATCTACTGCCAACCAGCAAAGTCCAGCTGAAACGCTGCCCCCTATTTTCCTTCAAAAACAAAAATGAATTAAAAGGTGGCTGCACATTGCACCTCTAAATACGCCGTGTTACAAAAAGAATCGGCACCTGGGAACAACAGATGCAACGCTGACACAAACCTTTCAACATCAGCATAATAACATCATCATCATCATCAATCATATTTCTTACTGTGTGACGCTCGCACACGAGTCAGCTAAAGCCATGAAGGACGAGCTCAGCTAAGCGTGTGTTTGTTTGTGTGTGTCTGTGTGTGTGCTTGTGTTATACCCTGATCCCAAGATATGTCAGTCAGCTTTTGCAGTGTAAACTAAATCTCCCTCCCTCCAGCCAACAAAAGATAAAGCCCCTCTACCCCCATATCTCCCCTATTTATCTCAGCAGTACAAAAGTCCCAACACCTAACCCATACGGCACTACCTGGAGCACTAGCCAGGGAAACAAATAAATAATACTAATATGACAGGAAACAGAAACAGGTGAATGAGAAAGACAGACTGAGGGGGGGAGGGAGTAAGCGAAAGGAACAAAGACTGGGCTGCTGGAGTTGCATGCACAAACACAATCTGGGTATGATGGAATGATTTGTCAGCAACACCAGGAACTTGTGAAACCAGTCCGGTCTTTACCATTGAGCTTTTCCATTACAACAAAAGGGGCTGAGAGAGCTATGCACTCATGTCGTCTTCACAACACAAGCTTTTTGGGAATATGTATCCAGCTTGTTGTTAAGGTGGTTTTTTTAAGGTGTGTGTGTGTGTGTCTTCTGAGCGGAAGATATGGACCGAGCGATTGTGTGTGTGTGTGTGTGTTTTTGTCTGTTACCTCCTGGGTTGTCCACGTGCATGAAGAGCATATCTACATCTCCATCCAGGATGGAGTAGAACTGCAAACACACATATTGAGAGAGATTAATCAAAAGTGATAACATTTGTGATGAGTAATTTACTTTGCTATAAACCTTGTCTAATCGTCGTGAGAGAAGACGGTGTGTTTGTGCTGTCAACAAGGTGTGTATGTGGGTGGGTGTTTCGCCAGAACAGATGTGTGTTCAGTTGGTGTTGAAAAAGGAAATGTTGCCATCGCTGTTTTTACTCAAGGCAAACCAAAAAAAACCGTGTTTGTGTGTGTGTGTGTGTCTGAGAGTTTGAAGCGTTCTCCAACCCAAGACTGATTGTATAAATATCTGTACAGTTCCCGTGGTGGGGCAGGTTATCGTTTGAAATATTTAGATAGTGTCGATACGAAATGTAGTCCCATCTCTATTAAATGAACCAAGCTTGGAGAGGGTGGCCGTTTCAAAATGACTACAAGTTAAAAGCTTACCACCTGGATTTTATTTTTGTTACCATAAATTGTAATAAACTAGAAGCTTTCCTGAAGCGGTTGAGAAGCTCTTTACATGAAGTTTTTTAATCTCGGTCTCACCTGCTCAGTGGAGGCAGAAGGGAGCAGTGCTCGACTGAAGGTGTCTCCTTGGTCTGATGAGAAGTACATGACCCGAGGGGATCTCTGGGAGCAAAATAATGCATCACTGGGTTGTTATTGCTTGAGGTTCTCATTTTGATGTATGATTATAACATTGCTGGTCTTTTATGCGATTTGATTATCAAATCTACGAACGTGCTTGCGAAGAGGAGGCTTCGTATTCACACATCTTACCGGATCCTCCATCACAGAGAAGAAGAGAAAGGTTCCTATGTAGCCAAAACTGTAGATGTCCTCGTGGATCGTGGTGAAGGTCTTCCCCAGATCTGTTGTCCTCTTCAGCACTAAATCCCCTCTCTCTTCTGCCTCAACTGTGGAAGCAAGAAGCAAGACCTGGTGATGTGAGATACTCGCGACTGTTATTGATTGATTTTCCATTTCCCTGAATTCATTTAAGCACTATATTTTATTTTTGTGTTGTCGGATGGAGTGTGGATGGAAGGCACAATCCATGTTAGACAATCTTCTTCCTAAAATAGATTTGATTAGACTTCAATGTCTTTCTTTCATCACAACATAATAAAAAAAAAACATGAAACCAGACAACAACATTAAAAGGCAAACATTTGAATTACAGTGTGTCTGGGATGTGATGTCTGTCTTTAGGGGTGTGCTTTTTTTAATTAAGCACCACAGAGGTTGAAATTGTTTGACAAAAGTCATAATCAGTGGTCGCATGATGGAAGTGCATTTCATATAGCTTTTTACCTGCGTCTGTTCGACTGCAGCTGAAGAACAAATTAATGCCGGCGCCCCTAATGGAAAGAGGAAGTTAAGAAAAATGTCACTAACAGCAAAACATAAGAACCGTTTTGACCAATTACTTTATCTTCTCCAGGACAAAACACGCTGCATATCGCACATTTAGAGCAAAACATGGCAGTCAAATGGTGATACTGGCCTACAGCTTTTACAAAATACATGGTTCATCTCTAACACGTGCTTTCTTTTGAGGCACACTGGGATTCGGCATGTGGTTTTGTTTCCTGTTCATTCTCACCATGAGAAAGAATGCACTCCATCATGAACTTTCGTCCACTTGGCGCCAAAGTCCAGAGAGAGCCACAGACCGCCCTGCAAGTCGGGAAGGAACAGAGGAGTGTTTACCTACACTTAGAGGTGTGGGCTTGATGTGTGTGTGTGTGGGGCATAACTCTATACAGCTATTACACAGAGCAAAGGGAAACAGCCGTGGCCTTGTGAATGATAAAACGAGAAAAAAACGACAACCAGAGAAACAACATTTAAAGCCGTGTGCGACTCACATCAATGCTGAGGGCCACGAGGTAGTCGGGGTTGAGGAAGTGGTACGTGATCGGCTGAGCCAGGTGGAAGGGCAGTTGGATGAACTTGAACGTCGCACCGGCATCCGTGGAGGTGAAGATGATCCCGCCTGGGTTATCCACCACCGGAATGTCTGCTGTCAGAATCACCTGTCAATTCAAATCAATCACTAAACATAAAGAAAACAGCAAAATCGCATTGCTTCCTACTGCATTTTCTTTTTTTTAAAAGCTTTACCTGAGCAGAGTTTCTTGGTCGTGTCAGAGAAAAATATCTTTTTTACATAATCTCATCCTCATCCCAGTTGAGGACAAGCGCAAAACTACATGGTTTGACAGTGAGGATGTGTAACAAGTTGACCAGACATGTCTTCACACCTTTTTATGTGAGGCAACATCACACACACACACTCCTCCCCGGGTATAGCAACACGGTTCCCCAACAGAAACCCCCTAACTGCTCACTCACTACACACAGTGTGTCGACTCACAGAGCTCCCTGGTCCGACACGGACTCCAAACTCCTCCCTGATGAAGGTGTTGTTGATCTGATGGGAAATGTCGTGGAAGGATTTAGCATAATCCGTGCTGATGAGAGAGGAAAGAACAAACAGGTTTTCACTGTCTGATTGAGTTCTACTCGTGGCTGAGCTGCTGCTCCCTCTATTTCCGGTGACATATCAGATACTAGCTCACCTTCGATAGAGTCGTGAGGAGCCGCCTTCGATGAAAGAATCTATCGGAGCACTAAATGTTGACAGCACCAGGACGACCTGGGAAATGATGCAATGGGATTAACATTTTTTGACATGGCCGTATAAAACAATATCTGAGTCTGGTTAAGACAATTATGGAGATTTAGTAAGTTATCATTTCCACTTCAGTATGACTTACTTTTCTAATTATTATTTACGAGGGAGCTTCAGGTAGTTATGTATATTTCTGAACACTTAAAAAAAAAAGTAAATATTTTGGAATGGAGAAATCGCATACACGGCCACAGATTAGATAGCAGTATGAATTCTGAAAAAATCCCACACGTTTCTGTCTGACCTTATGCTACTGTAATGCTAAGATACTCACCCCTGTGCCATGGCCCACCCATGTGAGAATTACATAGGAGCCATCATCACCGTTAAACCCTGTCTAGGAGCAAGAGAGAAGAGATATTCACACATATGACAGTCTTCAGAGTCAGTTTACTCTGAAGTAAAAAAAAAAACTGAACTAAAAAACTAAATGTCATGATATAAAATTTCCACAAGCTGTTCTTACGCTTCTATTTGTGTCAAGCTCCACTTTTTATATTAAAGTATTACGTTTGTTGTGTTTTAAATACATATTTAACCTTGAAAAAAAGCAAAAAATATCACTATGTTCTGAATTTTCTGAAAGTCCTTTTTCACTTTTAATAAAATGCATAACTGCAAATTAATAAAGATCATACGACTACTTTGCTCCTGTCTATTTACCAAACCTTTCCCAGCTTCAGAACAACGCCACCAAACTCAAACACACCTCACCTCATGCGTATTGTCATCCAGAACCTTGTGCTCGACGGGGGTGAGGGGGGTCCGACAGGCGGTGAAGGGGGGTCCATGAACGGGCCTGGTGGTGCCGGAGGAGCCGCTCGTATCCCTCCTGGGGCGTGCGCGCGCTTGGCCCTGGTTGTCATCCTGCTGAGTCCGGTGGAAAGTCACTGTCCTCCCCCCACGGCTGCTGCTTTCAGCTCCTAGAAGAAGGACGTGGAGGACCAAGAGTCTCCAGATCATATCCGATGAGAAAGGGGTACCTCACTAAAATAAGAGGACCAGAAAGCGAGGTGGCTGCCGACACTGACTGGGTTATTAGTGTTGCGCTCTGAGAGCAAGTGTGGGAGGGACGAGCTTGAACGGGTCCTTCACATCAAAAAAGTGCCGTGTGAAGTAATGCGTCCTCCGCCAGCAGGTGTTTCTGCCCGCATCCAGGTGACCTGAGCTGCTGGGAGGATTTGCGGTGCAAGTGTATTTGATGGAAACGTACCTTGTGGCCATTTGCACCCAATGCAAGAAAGGTAAATGTGGGAATCGGTGCGAGGTTAATTTGTGTGCACAGAAAACAGAAGAAAAATAAAAAAGTGTGATGGCCGGAATAGAGAAGTTCTGATACTCGAAGGAGGCGTGAATGCAGCATAAAAGACAACTTTTTCTGCCTGATTGTATTGGTAGTGGCACAACTGAACGCAAGAGGACGTCATGTATTCACCTATGATGCTTCCAGCGGACTGACTCTCAGTCAGGTGCCAAATCGCTTTTACGCACAGCTATGGTAGCATTGGCTGCAGCACAGTTGTAATATATTTCAAGCCAATGCCTGAAAGTCAACCGAACAAGTATCCTATGAGTGTTTTGAAGACACTTTTTACTAAGAAATCGAAAGACACGCAGCTGTTTTGCCGGGAGCTGATCTGGCACAGCTGTGACCGTCTACTTTATCCTACTACCATGGGAAATGATTAAGCTCAATAGTTTATTTAATCTTATGTTCAAGTCATATTTAGGTTCTGGACCCTTTAAACTGGAATACAGTTTATTTGTCCTTCAGCTACACATTTTAATTTTATCCAGATGTTTAATTTTTGAAATAATCCATGAGATCCAATTAGAGAAAAATGTACATCATTATAATCTGTATTGGTTAGGCTTCATGCTGTTCAGGGAAGAGGAACCACGCAAACATTGAGCAGAGGTCAAATCAGCCAAGTAGAAAACTGTTACATTGTGTGCACTAGTGACATTATTTCAAAACATAAAAGTTAATGACTGACTTCTGATGACTGGTCTCTGGCGGTGTGTGGGTGTTTTAATACTACCAGTGTCACTGTAACCCCTGATAGAGAAAGCTTTGAAGCAAGCTGGTACACTTCCTCACCCTTGGCACTGAGGGAAAACTGGGAACAGAGGACAAAGAAACATGTTTACTGCGGAGAGCTTATTAATGGAGGCTTAACTGTTCAAGCTCAACTTTTTTTTTTCTTTTTTTGTTGTTTTGGCAACTTAAGGGCAAAAAAAAAACTTCACAACAAGCATACAAACCCAAAGACCTGACAATATTGCCCAAATGTGTCAAGCTGAATAAATGCTGAATCCTACACTTCCCATAATACCCTTAGTTTGTAACCGGCTCTTTTGGCTTTCCAGAAACAGCCTTGTGAAATAATTGTGTACAGTTCATATGCAACCATTTTGGAAGGCACTGAGAAATCCTGCCAACAGGGGTTTTGGTTTGTTATTTAATGCTTTAATTTTTTGTTTTGAAAGTGTCGCAGCCCGGCTCCCAGCTGTGTGGGAAGAGGAGAAGTGTAATGGGCTGTCTGCCACTCCGGCCTCTGAGCACAGAGCGCACCAGGCCCAGGTGTGCTGACTAATACTGCCCTGCAGGCCTGGAGACAGAAAACACAGAGCAACAGCAGGGCAAACCAAGAGGGACTGCCTTTAAAGACAACAACAGTCAGCCATTTTTGTCCCTTAGTTTGGAAAACATGTCGCTATGTACAGATATGGAGCATTCGTTCGCTTTCATTTGGGTCGTGTTTCTGGCCATGTGATGATACACGGGAAAAGTTTGAATTATTTTTGCTGATTTAAATCGTTCAATCCAAAGATTTGTAGTTGCTGACAGTGCAGTTTCCTCATGTTCTGTCTAATAAGCGAAGAGATCGCTGCTATAATCACTCCACTATGTCCCTTTGATTGAGACAGTAATGCACTAATAGTTCAAGTACTATTCTGGTCGTGAGTACTGTTTGTATACTGTTTGCATTGTCATTTTAAGTCTAGTTGTTATTTCTTATTGTATTCTTATTTTTCTTTATCTTTCTAATTATTCTTATTTTTTTTAACTTTCTCTGTGTATCTGTATACTAATTTCTGTCTTTGTGTTGCTGCACAACTGAATTTCCCCTCTGGGGATCAACAAAGGCTTATCTTATCATATCTCATCTTACACCAATAAGCCATTACTGTTCTGTGACACGCTGCTTCTGACTCTTTAGTTCAGTAGTCAATATAATCTGCTGCAGGTTGATACTGTGTTTCTGTGGCTTTCAATCTTTTAACAAGCTCCTAACCACGGAATGACGTGTTTTAGATCACGGCTGTCACCAGAGAGGGGAATTCCACCGATGCAACCTCCTGACTCAGTCAGAAACACTCATGATTCAGACAGTTCAGCTTGAAGATCCTGTGTTAAAGATTTGTTTGAACATGTAGGCCTATACTTAACGGCTCTACGTCATGAATGTACTGAAAGGGCAGTATTAACTTTCCCTTTCACCAACTCATGAAAAAACTGGAAATACCGCCTAGTTCGCATCCATGTCTGTCAACGTCATGATTCAATTATTTCATCCCATTCGACAATTGTGTGAAATTGTCATAACTTACGCATTCTTGAGTTATGCCCCAAAACACATTTTGGGACGTCACGTTGACCACTAAAGTCTGGGTCTGACGAGAGCAATGAGACTGATCCACACAGAAACTGACTCATAGAAAAACAATAAGCTGACAGAGGCTAAACAACAGTGATAATTCCCCATGGCCTTTGAGCAATCATGTTCCCATTACACTGATACATCCATTCGCTTCATTGTAAATACATACTCATAGACCACAGGGACAGTGATCCAGACAAGCCCTATCACGGCGCTGCTGTTGTGCAACCAGCCCTTCGAAAAGGGAAATATCTCTGGTTAAAGTTTCTCTTCATTCCATGCTGTTTTTTACTTGTCTACCAGAGAGCCTGGGCTGTGCTGGGACCCATACGGATGAATCAATCCTTATAAACTTGGCATGCCTTGACTAGTTCCCTCCAACTTGATTTCCCTTCTGTGTGTTACTTTTAGTTTAAGTCCTGTTTCGTAGGAAAGAATCATGTCTTTACTGGGAATAAATACTCAAAAGACAACCTCTGGTTTTCGGTATTCTTTATTTCAGCATTAAAAGACTCACACAAAGCGGGTATAGGATTCTTCCACCACATTACTGTGTTTGATAGTCAACACAAATTCATGTTGTGGGACTGTGCATCCATATCAACGATCTGTCCGATGCATGGTAATGATGTCCTGTCTTGTTCATCCATTGTCACAGTAGCCAGCATGTCCATAGCTGCCTTATAAAAAAATGTAATCGTGACCAAGATGTTTCCCTTCATGAGCCGATGTTTTTAGTCGGAGGCGATCCGCTCCGGTGGCTGCTTGAGGAGAGCTGCCTCTGTGTCTGCTGGTCCAAGTCCATAATGTAGTGGTGGTCCTGGACGTACATCAGACCACCAAAGGCGTCCACTATTCCATAAATGACTGCAAGGACGCTCAGCGCCGTTCCAATAAAGTACATCTTGAGGACTGCCGCCACCATGGTTCCCGTGGCAAAGGACAACTGGCTGCAAAGGAAAAAGATTGATCAGTTTCAAGGTTAGTTAGGCTACATTTGCGGTATTTGTTAATACAGATTTAAGGAGATGTTTTAGATTGATAGATATTTACATTTAAAGCAGTCATGCATGCATGCATAAATACATGTTGGTGATTATTTTTGGGCCAATTTAAAACAACAGTATGCATGTTTAATTAATTATTGCAGTACATAAGTATTTTAAGAACAGGAATTGGTCGAAAATTGAAATGACTGGAGTACAGAGAGAGAATATCTGGAAAGGAAGCTACTGTTCCTCAGACCACACTAAACAGGAAGAGCCAGGGTATTGGTGCAGTTTGAGACTGTTGAAAATTTAGAATTTAGGATGATAAGCAACCCCAAAAATAACCTTTTTTGATTTGTTTTTTATTTATTTTGACGCCAGAATTGGTATTTGGTTTGCAGGGAGTGGAAAATATTCAATATTTGTAGTCAAAGTTATTCATACGACTGTTTTTATCTTCTATCTTCAATATGCTTTAAACACGACTCTATACGCTTCTCTTTCCTTTTCAGAAACAAAAGCCACTAAACACCACGGTTGTTACAAGAGTTACTGTAGTATTGTTCTGCGCTTTGCTTTACTGTGGGCTACACAAATTCGACTTGAAACTGAAACCACAGCTTAACGAAACTCAAACGCAGACGCTTAGGAAACGAGCTTGAATGTAGCATCCCAATAGAGCACATGGCTGTGGAGACGGTAGTGCAACACGACGCGGTGTGATACGCTGAAATCGCGTCTTTTAAATCAGCACTCTTGAGACACTCTGTATTTCGCTGGTAAAATAACTTACCAGAGGCTCGGCTGATCTGCAGTGTCTCTTTCTTTATTTGTCACTCTCGTTGCTGTGTGTGGGCTGAAGCAGCCCGGTTTCCATCAACAAACAGCAGCTTTAAAAAAAAATATCCACTGACATCTGTTTGTCAAAAATGAGTTTTATTTCTTCTTAATACTCCGAGAAACTGTTGGAACACTGGAGCTGAAATCCCACAGCTGCTGTCTGCCTCCGTCTCCGCTGCTGTATGAGCCGCATATCAAGCAGCCTTCAATTATAATGCGTAACAGTGACATCACCTTGAAGCAGCAATAATGCCCTGACTGTTTCACATGACCGCGGGGGAGTTTAGAAGTTTCCATTGGATTATCATGACATACTTGGAGAGGTAGAAAGGTGGCTTGTTAGCTAGTTTGTGTCCTCTTTCCCCCATTTTTCTTCTTTATTGTTGATGAAAACAACTAGTTATTTTATTTATTTATATTTAATTATATTTCCTGTATATTTTATCTCCCAAAAGCTTGTTTCCAAGCCAGTTTTGTATGCTGCCTGAAACATTTATTTATTAATTGATTAATTTGGTGTAAAATAAGTCAATTTTATACATATTGGGGTTGACCTACAACACACCATAATTAAGCTATTTTTTAAATTATTATTATAGAATGTAAAAGCACTCCAGGTTGCTTATTACCAGAAATAGTGTACAGCCTTGCTAGCTATGTTCTGTGGGGCTGTATAGGCCTACAGCAGTGCTTTGAGCTAATGCTAAAGTCAGCATGCTGACATGCTCACAATGATAACGCTAACATGTTGATGTTTAGCAAATGCAGGAGAATGTGTGCTATGTTCACCCTCTTAACCTAGCCTGTTTAGCATGGCCACATTTGCTAATTAGCACAAAACACAAAGTAAAGCTGATACATTTGTTTCCAGTAGTCATTGGCTTTTGGTCAAATTAACATGCATCATATGCCTGATGACAACACTGGATGGAAGATTAAAGGGGAACTCTACCAATTGTACACATTGGTGTCCAATAGTTTTTGAGGCATTTCACCTAAAACTACAAATGTCAACTTCACGGTGGTACGAAAAGTCAGTGGATCACCAATGTCTGTAGGGTTCATCCTCTGGTGACAATGAATGTTCATGGCAATCGATCCAAAAGTGGTTGAGATATTTCAGTCTGGGTGAACTGACTTTTAGTTTATCTTTAGTGTTTTTTTTTAGAAACTTAAGGCATGGTATCGCATGATAGAGGTACCATATCTTACCCCAACAGAAAATGTTTAGAGCTAGATGGATATCTCGTGAAATACTTGTTTTTACTTCCTCATTATTTGTCATAAGACAATGACTACTTTGTTTTAAAGGTTTGGTTAACATTTACAGACAAAAGGAAACCGTTGTGGAGCAATGTATTTGAGGTGTGTTCTCAGTGGCTCAAAGGCAAAGAGTGATCAATTCGTGAGCTATACTGTATTTAAATTGCACTTAACCAATGTATCTTCTGGGACTCGTCAGACCTGTTCCTACACCTGGATCCACACTGTAAAAACTTGTTAGCAGGCCTGTTGTTGTCAAAAAAGGAAAAAATAAATCTAGATACCACTAATTTGTTCACATGCCAGACCGGAGATTCCAGATTTTTACTCTGGAAATTTCTCCATTCAGAGGGAGTATAGCAGTGCTGTCCTATCATGGTTTCACTTCCCCTGAGGCTTGGCCCTGTTTTTGAGGAAACTCCAACCCAGATAGCTATCGGCACAGTTCACTGGGAGGATAATAGCACAGATGTAGGGCTCGCTCTTAAATCAACACCAACTATTTGATAGGAGATGCTATGACTAATCGATGCGTCGTGGTTTACGCTTTCAAGACAATATTACTGTAAGATGTGAGTTAAGAAAAGTTGAGGGTGCTGCAACGTTTTACTCACCCAAGCCTGCCCAGTTGTAAATTATTCCCTCCGTGCGTTGCTTCTTGCTTTTGTCCATTATGGTTCCTTTTCAGAGACACAAGAAGTGTTGGGATTTTCCCACGGTTTAAAATAATGCACGAAGTTGCGTAAGCTGCTTTTAGAGTCTGGGACTGCTCTGCAGTTTTCACTGCCAGATGTTGAGAGGCTGCCAATAGTTCAGATGACTCATCTGCAGTCAGACATTAAATCCTTTTGTTTTTTCATTTCACTGCCTTGACTCAAAAGCGCTGACTCTCAAGGAGGAACAGCGGTATTTCATCATGATCAATCTTAAGCTGCTGCTTCACGAAAAGGTTCGCAGAGCCAGTTAAGCCGGCAAACACTGGGACAGAGAGAAAGTACGAGACTATGAGTCAAAGGAAACTCTTTAGTCATTTGACACATAATCCACCCAGCTGTTGACTGGTGCTCATTAAAAAATAAAGCAATGAGCACATTATGATATGAAAGAACAAACAAATAATTAACACGATACAGTTCATTTAGTAGTCACTTTCAGTTGCTGTCCATTGGCTGGAAACATATTCTCATTTGCTTCCTGCAAGCACATAGTTGTCAAATATAGTACAGTACATCTGTGCAGGGAAGTAATGCAACTGCACATAAAGAAATCCCTTACTTAGTAAAGGGGCAATAAAACACTTCATCCACTAGGTGTCAGTGTATGACAGTAAAGAGCTGGGAGCACATGTTTCAGGTTTGGAGAGTCTGTGTATGTTGTTTTCAGTCATCTAATGTTGAATTGTTTCATAATAGACATTGTCCTTGCAGGTTTGCAGCTGACGGTTCACTTCCAGTAATGTTGTTAGTTACAGCGCTTTTCCTACTGTCACATGTCATAATGTGAAAAAAATGCCTCATGTATATACATTTATTCATACATTTTATATTTGGAACACAGCAGTCATAAACTGTATTAGCCACACGGTTGCCTTTTCTGCTTTGACGAGTCGACATGACTCGTGTGGAAAAGACATTCTGCTCCGCACCCACGGTCACACCAGCTGCCTTCATTATTTGGTGAACATTGAAGTTTATTCCTTTGAGTTCCTGGTCTGTGCAGTGACATCTGTTTTTATAGAATGACGTAAGACTAAAGCGACAAACTTCCAAACGCAGTTACAGAGTGCTTTACAGAATAAGATAAAGTCGCATGAACAGTTGAGATAAAAACAACAAAAACATAAAACAAGTAGTAAAAACTGGTAAAGTAAAATGATATACGAGTGATTCAAAACTAGACAGCCAATATACTGTAAAAAGAAAAAATAAGCGAGTCAAAATCTGGTTTTAAGTTTACATATATTTGATAAATCAAACTACTGCACGGACTGGAGTTCTGGTTGGTCTGTGGGAGTATAAATAAGCTGCCATGTATAGTCTTTAGTGTGCTTTGTGCCAAATGGTGAATGTGTATATATGGGTAGGTGGCGGTGGACCAACTGCAAATTTTTGCCCCAGGGTTTTTGTAACCCAGGCTGTCCTTTTACTTTCTCTGACTTCACAGAGCTCTCACCACAGCCACAGAATGTGTTATACAACTGATTTTACAGGCTGCGTAGTACTTTCCCTTAACCAGTACACTGATTCTGATGAGTACAATTGAGTTGTGTTTAAATATCACTGCGCTACTTCTGTCTGCTCTAGATCACCTGTGTTCATACGACACAAATTTTTTGATGGAAAATAACTGCAGCAATTACAGAAAAATAAAAGTCATGAATAAAAAAAATCAATCCCAATTTCAGTTTCACTTCATAAATACCCATCTTTTAAAAACATCACACAATAGAGAAAAAGACACATTTATTCCACCGCGCTGGCTGCAGCTCTAGTGAAGGCTGTCACTTAAAATGACACCTGTGTCGTGTCAAAGTAGTGTGACGTGAAATGAATTACAACTGTACAGTAGATTCAGATCATCCGATGCATTATATCATCAGCGGCGCAGTCATTCACACGCAAGGAGAAGAGTGCTCTTTTTGTTGGGAATGGTTTCCCTTGTGCTAAACCGTATGACTCTGATTTGTCTCAGCCAGCCAATAAGTATCCACACTGTGCACATGACATTCATTAGGATAATTGTAATTGAATGAGGAGGGACCGTGCACAACCCGAGGACATGCACATGTAAAATTAAGAGTGTGCTCCTTTGCCTTTTAGTGCACGAGACACAGACCCTTTAATGCCGTTGATAACATGATTTTAAGGCGCATCCGACGCAATGGTGTTCGCTCAGAGCGGCAGCATCTCGTCAAGATTACAAATGTGTTATTCCTAATGTGTCTTTGGTGCTAAAAGTCACTTTCCTTATGTGTTATCTTCACTTATGTGTTTCCGTTACCATGTATTACCGATGAATGTGAGTCGTAAGTGGGGAACCTCAGTGGACGGGCTAAGAGGATTTTCCATCTTAACGTCTCGCCAACTGTCACCAACAGTCGGTCACCTGGAGGTGATCCCTTTGAGAGGCCCACTTGTGTGTTTGGGTTCGTGTGGGCCGGGGGGAATCCTTTCCACTGGCTAAACTATACGCCAAACCAAAAGAACAACGGAGGAGTCAATGCATACATTCTGTACATTGCGCACTGTATGTACATCCCACTAAAGGCATGCGTTCATACCCTTTTCTGAAGTCAGAAAGAGGCGATGTGACTTGTGTAAAGGCTGTTAAAGCCAGTTGGAGTGTTTATGTAACACTGACGCTTTGGTGAGAGCTTAACTCAGCGGCGTCAAGGTACAAGTACATGTCGTGCTAGCTTGTGTGTCTAACCTCGGCCTCTTGACTGTTTTAGGAGGTGGTGTGGTTACACCAGAACTTATTATCCTACACTCAATTTTGCACAGCCCACGTTTTACTCAGCAACAGATTGGAAACCAGTGTTTTCCATGAGGCCGACACAAAGCACAAGATGCAAGACTAAACATCTCTGTGGGTCCTGGCGTGAGGAGCTAAATTTAAAGAGATCAGCACAAAAAAATGTGCTGTACTCTTTGCAGAGCTCGTCTCTAGTCCTGTTCATTTTAATTCTGCAATCCTCTTTGTGAAAATGACGTTGTGCCACCGATATAAAGCAGGATTAACCCATACATAGAGAGGGGAGCAAGATGTACAGAGCTTCATGGAGCACTCAGCAGGACAGCAGCACTCACTCCATTCAACTTGGAGAGGAACGCTCGGGGCAATGGCTGCTTTATCCTACATGCATGCACAGTACAGGGCTCGTCTGTACTTTCCATTACCCTCTGCCCCTGTGACAGAAACTCTCCTCCAAGATTTCGAGGACATCAGCACAACAGCCTCTCCACAACAACGGCCTGGTGCTGGCATCATTTCCACGGTGACACCCTCTCAGTGGGAGAATCTCCTAGGTGACGCCCTCTATTGACACGCCTTCGAGGTGGCTGGTTGCCTTTTTGTAGGCAGGTGCATCCTGTGCAGGGGCAGACGGAGGAGCCTGACACAGGTCTTTTTTTTTTTTTGGTTCGTGTTTTCTCTCTGTGGGAACATCTATGCAGCTCCATATCTGGTCTGGAAGGCAGAGTAAAAAAGAGCAGACACTGGAATCCAGATAAGAATAATGTAGAAAAACAACTTGGAGAGTTTCCATTTGTGTTGCAAATTGTCATTTCATCCAAACTTGGGTTATGAAGTGCATATGATATCCGGGTTTCGAGAGGTCTTCTGTTTTGACACAAATGTAACCTTCAACTGTTGGATATTTTTTCACTGACTGATCTGTGTTAAAAGCAAGCAAGCTGCACAGCAGGGCTCCAGGGCCGCTGGATTCAGAGACTGACCTTGGACGGACGATGGAGGGGTACGGTTATGAGCACTTTGGTGCAGACGGAGCGAGTAAGAGCCAGGAGGTGGATTATCGGAGAATTGTAGGAGACACTCAGCCCCAACGTACCGACATATCGCCCGGGGAAGGCGAACATTATGTCAGGCAAACCTCACATGGCCACGGACATGAAACTGCAGCCCAGCGATACAGCGCCACACGCATCCAGGCCGGTCTAGGCCCAGAGAGGTGAGTTGCTGAGAAAATATACGGAGAATGAGCCACCTTTAGGTAGAGCCCAAACAGCAACTAGGCTAAAACACATCTATTTTACTATTTACACAGAAGTAGCTATTTTTAATTGCAAATAGTCCTGCTGCTGAATTAAATTGCTACCAGGGAGAGTGAGAGTTCTGCAAAAACCTTTATAAAAATTCAGCATTTTACACACCAGAGGATTAGATTTAAGGACAATGTGATGTCAGTCCTCATGCTTTACTTTCACTGGCTGTGCCTTCATAAGGCTGCTCATGTAAATGAACTTCATGCCGTCGGGTCAGTTTACATGTCCACACACTTGTATTTAGATCAGTTTGCAAATGCCCTTGAGGTTAAAACCCCTTGCTTCGGATGACACTTCATTTTTGAGTTGTTTGAAGGATAAGGAAACTTTTGTCTCACGAGCAGATGCCGTAACGACAAACAAAAGCGGCTTATCTTAAAATATCGGGTGCTAATGTGAACGTGTGCCCTTTGTGCACACGGACAATTCTGTGATGCAACATCAAGGCAGGAGTGAGCAGCATGCCGCAGGGAGGATAAACAAGGCTGAATCAACTGCTCAGAATAGCAACAGTGCATAAAGGAACCGTTGACCCATATCTGCAATGACCCACATTTAATTTGACACAAACACAGAGTGGGAAACAGATCCCCCCTGAGTCACCTTGACAGACCAATGTAGCAGCCCTCCTTTAAGATTAATATAGAACAAGAGAGGACTGTGTGGCATATTAGGTTACAGGGAAGACCACATGGTTCTCCATTGGATTCAATGTCTGAAATGCAATCAGTGAAACATCTCTGCAAGAAATGATCAATATACCGGAAGTGAAAGCCCCAAGAATAGTACTGATGTTACTTAATAGCCTGTAATTCAAAACTTCCTCCTTGGCAGCAAATATGACAAAACCTTTATCGGATGTGAACCATCCTCTGCTCCATGATGCTGCAGAACAGGTGATAAAAGATACTGACGTTCATACAGAAAGCAAAAGTAATTTCCTGTCAGCATTTATGCAGCTGACAGCTCAATAACATGAGCAGCGTGCCAACATACTGTCAAGTAATGTGAATGTTTGTGCGGTTTTACATTCAGTTTCTTTGCCATAAAGTAAGTGACTGTTCAACTCCAATCTCCTGTAAGCATAATGAGGAGAGCAGGGTCAATTTATAAACCTTTTACTCTTTAGATTTCACATAAATGTATGAAATGAGCTTTAAAAAAACGTGTTCTCATTCCCCTCAGTGACCCCATGTATTCATGATATAGCCCAAAATAGAACGGCTTTCTCTTATCGGGACTGAACTTTCTTTTGTTTCCTAAACAAACAGCACACCATTGAAAGCGGCTTCAAAACTTGGAAGTTAACTGTTATATCTACTTTTGTACTGTGTATATATATATATATATATATATATATATATATATATATATATATATATAAAAAGTTATTCGGGGAAAAAAAGACACTGAATTTTATCCACATCAAGAATTTGTGTTCCTCTAAAAGCTGCTTCTCTGCACATCCCACAATTGTCATCATGTGAACATTTCAGTGCACTTAATCCAGTTTAGATGAGTTACGAGATGTGACCAGGATTCAGACAGTGCTGCTTCCATATTAGTGTTAACAAGTCGTGCTCAAACACTGTTGACAATTATACCAAGAATACAAGAAATAGAACTATTGACTTTGTGAAAGAAAAACTAAAAACTGCAAAATCACAATGCTAAAAGATGTAAATTAGCAATACAAAAATGTAAAGGTACTCAATTACAATTAAAAAGCCCTGCATTCAAAAATGCATCATCAACAGTATGTACTGTGATATATTAAAATATTGGGTGACTATTGTTTAACATGTTAGCAGCATATTAATATCGCCACATGGTCTGGATTTGTTTTACACACACACATTGGAAGGTTTAATACATGACAACAATTCATATTATTTTATTTAGAACAAAGTCTTATATGTGTAGTGGAGTAAAACAAATAACAGCACATTCATTTTTCAATGTAATGGAAGGATAAAAAAGCATTATGGAAGCAATCAAGTAAAGTACTTTAAAACTGCACTTAAGTAAATGTGCATAGTGCCATCTTTAACCAAAGCAGCTTAAAACCACCAACGCTAAAATGACAAAGTAGAGCCTGTCTTCACTCTAAACAGCGTGCCTAGAAAGGCCCATCGGAATGAACCGACAGCTCTGATAAACCGGTGTGCCATCATGTTAGTAGCGACACGTCCACGTGAACAACTCCAGTTGAACACCAGTTAACCCATTTGAGTTCACCCGCCGCCACTGACTCCACAGCAGCAGAAATGTGCAGAGGGTTAAACACGCCTCTGTAAGGAGGAGAGGGGATGTGACGCTGCTGCCAGCACCAACACGCACTGTCTGCTGCAGCGACAGGCAATCACTTCTGACTGCACTTTTACATCTTGGAGCACCGATCCACCTTGCATTTTTTTTCCTCATCGGTTTTGTTTTTCGCGGTAGAAGGAAATACCGTGTCGTCGTTTTTTTTAAAGCCTGATTTCTGTAGCTTCACAGCTGGAAAGTTGCTTCTCTTTTGGTCAACGGGGGCATCAGCTCCAAAAATAAGGTTAGCTAGCCGAACGTAACTCGGTGTAGGGGACATATTGTGTGAGTGTACGCTAGTTTCAGAAGCTACATAGTCCAAACCACTTTATTTCATATTGAACGTACGGATGGAGAAGCGTGCTTTAAGGTCTCGTGAGCGTTTTACACATGTCAAGCCAAAAATAACCAGCCTGCTAACGTTAATGCTAACGGCTGCTCCCACATGCCTGCAAGTACAACCTATTCTGCGCTCTGCTCGTGTCTGGTCTGCCAAAAGTTCGGTTGCATGCACATACGTGGATTATTAACACATCTGCACCAGTTGGGATAGTTTGTTTTTGTAGCACAAATGGGGTTTAAGTTGACCTACTTGTTTTTAAATGAGTAACATGTAGCGTACGGTGATCTGAACCCCGTGACGACACAGTGACGGGTTGAATAAGCTAACGTTAAACTGGGTAACGTGACATGTATTTGTGTCAAATATCGATGATTTACACGAGGGCTTACTTGCCTTTTTATAGTTAATTTGTCATTTAAATACCAGCTGGTTGAAGTAACGTTACCACTGGTGTCTCCAGCATTATTACACCAGTTGTGTTCACAAACCAACGTTATTCGGTGCACAAATAACGTAGCGTTAAGTAACATGCGTGTTTATTTCGTTGAACCTTACTGGTACTAATGCTAGTTACTTGACATTAACTGAAAGTCGCTCACCTGTGCTGAGCATTTATGAAAATGTGATATAACGCAATGTTAGAATGAACTCGACCTACACCTGAACGCAACACCAAACTCCCATCAAAACTGCCAAATTAGTTTTGCCTCTATTGTTTAATTGGCGTTATATGGGGGTAGAGAAAGATCTCGGTTCCTCTAGTAAATAAAAAGAGCCTCTCTTCAGTTCGGCATGCTTTGTGTCGGTTTACACAATGATCTGTTTAGCCTGTATGGACGTTTGAGGTGGGAGGCTAACATGGGGACTAGCATGGATAATATTGTAACGTGGAAGATGAAGAGCATGGATGTTGCGTTGCCACCTCACTGTATAAACAAGTAACACTAGTGCATTTTGTCAATTTAAGAGTGTGCAACGCAAAATCAGCTAATGTTTGCAAGCTACTGATAGTGCAATGTAGGTCATCGGGCCAGCAACCAGACGTCACCGTTTCAGGTCGAGAACACGTTGTAAGGATGTCGTGTTCTTTTTGTGGACAGCGTTTCAACTGATATGCTGGTAGATAGTCCCAGCTATCGGTTCAGTTCAATGTTAGTGGGTCACCCGGCCATGTTTTGCTTCACACGCGCCCATGTGGCGACTATTGCACTGATGTCATACGCCTCATGCGCACGAGAATATGTTTTGAAAATGGCAACGATGTTAATAATTTAGAGACAGGAATTTGCTCGCCACTAAATCGCAGTAGAATTTTTTTTTTAACGGTGACGTGTTTGTGATACATGGTGGGATCTAATGTTATATAATGTCCCGTTATGTATCCGCAGCAGTCATAGAAAACAATCAATTAAACGTGTATAACATTGTTTATTACCGGATTATTATAGGCTTATTTTTGCAAGCGGATGAAGTGGTCGCATTTTGAGCCCGCCGCGCAGGCGCACTGACCAGCGGCTGGCTGGGGGTGGGGGGGGGGGGGGGGGGGATGTTGATGTTGCTATGGTTATGTCTTCCCTGTGAGAAGGTCACTGAAGCTCTGCCTGCAATGTGGATGTCTAGTGTTCTTGCAGAGCATCCTTTTAGATGCACATCTTGATCTGAGTCTGCACAGTTGATTGAAGTTGCTTCTCCTTGTCATTTGGCAGCATGGCGGATTACTTAATCAGCGGTGGCACGGGATACGTCCCCGAAGATGGACTCTCGGCTCAGCAGCTTTTCTCAGTTGGCGATGGCCTCACGTACAAGTAAGTTTCCCTGCATCACAAACTTTAATTGAGACATTTCGGAAAAAAATCTCTTCATTTAAATTCATTCAAATTAAGGTCTCCTTATTTTAAAACCTCACCTGCGCGCAATGGTGGGTGACGTGTACACAGCAGTGCTTTGTAATGGCCAACGCATTTTGAACCAGCAGATCTGACCAACAGTGCGTTGTCTCCGATGGTCATACGGCTGAAGAGCTATGCTCTAAAGGAGATGGGTTGACTTACAAGTGAGTAAAACAGTCATCTTCAAACTGTTTTGAAACTGTGCTGTTATCCTTTGTCTCTCCAAAAAGTGAATTCATAAAGGGGAAGCAAATGACAGTCCTTCCAAAGCAACTTTACTTTGACTGAAAAAAAAAAAAAAAAACTCCATGGCAAAATCTCAATCTGGTGTCATGAAAGTGCATGAGAGCAGAAGATAAAACGAGGGCTTTTGTTGGAATGCTCAGTATGATCTTGGTCATGGGGATCAAATTTGCTTCCAGTGGACACAACTGCATGAATAACTTCCAACTAACCAATCACAGGGCATGATCTGTCCTGTGAATGCACCATGCATGTCAGAGCAGCTCATGCCCCTTCTTTAAAATAAAATCACAACACTTTCTCTCTTTGATGAAAGCACTCATTTCTCTCATCTTTCTTAACCTCACTCAGCTCTGGGATGCATTCTGGTGATGCTTTTGTATTTGAACTCATCGTGTATTTTGTCTGAAATTTTCCTCAATAATCCTTGAAATCACCCTTTTTTTCATTTTCTTAATTCTAAATAACAAGAAGCAAAGCATCGTGTGACTCCGTTGTAGCGCCTTGAACTTTCTCCTAAATCAATCTGTGCTTTACCTCTTGAACAGGCACTAACAATCACTACAATCAATGCTTAAGATGCCCACTCGGCGTTCCCTGAAAGACCATTGGTCAATATATAATTCTCCGTATGGCATAATCGTCTGCACAACAAAACTCCAGTTATCTACACTGATCATGCTCCTCCTGCTTTAGGGAAGCTAATTGAATAGAAAACGTAACCGCGTGTGATTGAACAACCTCTCCACACTGTAATGAAGTGCATCACGACCAAAGGAAGGTTTGCGCACATGATGGCCTGAATTGACATCATGTGGATTGCAGGAGGAGTTTGGGTCGGGTGGGGTTGCTTCAATTTCTATTGCTCGGTTTCTTTGAAGCATGTTTTAAAACACTTTTCCTGTAATCTTTGATATATATCTTAAATGTCCCCAATTACTTGATCAACACTTAACTTAGACTGTCACAGGTTCTGACTTTAAGACTACAATTACACAGGATATTTTTTTTATTTTAGAGGAAAAGGAAGTAGGCCACTCAGAGAAAGTGAGACACAGGAAGACAGAAACAGCATTTTGTGTTCCTGCAGCATTTTGACCTTTTAAACTATGCGCGTGTTCTTTTAAAGCTACTTCTGAACTCCATTTTTCTGTCCACACTATTGGAATGGCCTAGAAAGTGAAAGAGACGGCCGACTTTAAGGGTTCCGAGCTGTTAGCTTTTCATTATGGGGCAAGGTGATGAACTGTAGTTTATACACTCAGACACTGTAAAATACATTTACTAAAGATACAAAAGTCAAAGTGCCTCTTGCGCAACAGGCTGGTGGTTAAATACTGGGTCACTGCCAGTCCCATTCACACAAGACCACTTCAACATAACCCTATACTTTAAACTATGCACTATATACTACACAACTACATACTATGGGCCTTAACGCCTGACGTTACCTGGAAAAACAAGTCTTCCACAGTTGAATACCTCAGACGTGGGGCTGGCATAAGAGCACATTGTTGTCATCGTCGTTTCACTTCTTACAGAGCTGTAGCATATACATCACCGCTGCTAACTGCAGTTTAATAATATTCTTTCGTCGGCGTCTTCGAGTGTGATTCAGACATACAGATGTTACACATTGAGATTCACCCTGTTACATTTACAAAAATACCGGGCGCCATGCTCTCAGCTGCTTTTGGATGTTGTTTTGGTGGGGTGTTGTTGTTGTTGTTGTTGTTGTTGTTTTTGTTTTTCCAATGCCCAGGCAACAACAGGCGTCTGCACAAACAGTGGAAGATCAATTGTGGCCTCTGGTTGTGCTTAGAAACACTCCCGCTTCGCGTCATGCATTTGTCTACATTTAACATTCAAACGAGAACCACAATAAGGCATCGCCAAGCCAGTGTTGTCTTTTACAATTCAAATCCAACACAATGAGCGCTGAACTCCGAGTCAGTAGGTGCGGCCTGTGAGCCGCAGCTGTGGTTTGTGGCTGCTGTTAAATGCTAGCAGATGTGTGCTGGACTTCCTGTTTGTCCCCACGCTGATGTGTGTGTGTGGGTGTTCGGGTTCTAACCTGAGAAGAAACCAACGAACAAACAGGACTCCTCCCTCAGTGTACCATGTGCGACTATTTCAGACCTTCCTTTTCTCCCACCCACGCAGAGATCTGTTTCGTCCACTCGTACTGCTCCCCGTCTACCTGTTTTTCATACCCACACTCTGTATTCCCCCGTCAAGCTTCCTCCAGCGTCCACATGGCACACAAAGCCTCCCTTGTTCCTCCATCTTTCCGTCCGTCCCCTGCCCTGTTTTCACACCCAGCTGTAAAAAAAAAAAAAAAAAAAAAAAAAAAAATCTGGTTGAAAAACAAACACGCCATTCCTGTGTCTCGCTGTTGCACCCCCACTCATATCATTCTACCTGCTCATCGTGTGTTTATACTGTCCAAGAGCTGAGTGAGATCAACTGTAGCAGGATGCAGCGTGACCCAGCCACACAGTCACTAGACTCACTACCCTACTTAGTAATATTCTGGGAACATAAGAGTATCCAACAATAGGTTGCAGGCTTTAAACTGTAGCGTTGTTCCAGTTGAAATTGTTAGACAGAAGGAAATGAGTAGAGGGAGATCAGGCTGATTATATGTCCAACAAATATTGAATTTGAATGTTCTTTTAAAGCTAAATCAGTTAGTCTTTGACCTGTCTTACAGTTTTCTTTTCTTAAGCAGTCTTGTTCAATAGTACCAATTCCGCCTGTGAGCGACACGTAATGTAGGAATAAGAAAACATGTTCAATTCTCTGTTTGTCCTGGAAATGTTGGGCAGAATATATCACAAATATCCATGTTGTTTTAAACGTGAACTCTTTAACTCTTGGTATTTTCAAAGGATGCTTTCAACCAGCCATGCAAAGTCGCGCCGGTCCCTTACTCTACATTTTGTTTATGTCTTCCAGTGACTTCCTGATATTACCCGGCTTCATCGACTTCACCTCAGACGAAGTGGTGAGTACACCTCCGTGTGAAGGACATGTGTGAGAATACAAAAGGCCGTAAAGGTCGCTGGTTGTTTCAGGAGATTGTTGCAAGTGTCTGTCGCATCTGAGGAGAGACTCTGCCGGGTATTTTGAAAGACGAATCAAATCACTTCTTCGGTTTCTTCCACACCCCCTTCATGATAATTAATGCGGCAGTGTCGGCAGACAGACCGTCCTTGGCCGAGCCGCGTCCTGAACAATCAGCCTTATTCCAGTGGACTCTCTTTTCCATTTGACTATAAACAAGCCTCTCTACTCCCAGACCTCAACCTTATTTCCGAATGGCAGCTCTTACAAAAACAGTCTTGTTTTTGTCCATTTATAAACCGTCTGCATCATTTCTTCTCTCCCTGCTATTTTTGCCCGATGTGGTCACCCACTGGCTGCTACCTCACCCGTGTGTTTACGTTCGTCTGGTTGGTTGCTCATCCACGTCTCTCGCCAGATGACGGGAGAGTTAATCTCTGGGCTTCAGATGAAATCCCTCTCCTCTGCTTCGTCCATCTCTGCAGACTTTAATTTAATGTATCTAATCTCCCCCCCCCTCTCTTCAGTTACAGAGAGCTCTCGCTGCTGTGCGAGATGCTTGTCTGCCTCGCCATGTTGTCATGGGCTGGTTGTCTCCAGAGTCGTTGCCTTGCCCTAGTTTTTCCACAGGATAGTGAGTCTATTCAAGCTCGAATACCTCGAATGCTTCCACAGTTGGCCTCTGTCGCAACTTTGAATCGTCTAGTTCATATTCACACAGCGACTCAGAAATCTGTAAAATACTTCAGAGCTTTTGCGCTCTGTGTCAGGTGACATGAAGAGGGGCCGCATGTGCGTGGAGGTGTTGTGGGAAATTCTTCGTCTTTGCGATGTTCTTGACCCGCTGTCCTAACTTTAGCAGGTCAGTGCACAGCTGTGCTCTCTCTAAATGGAGACCTGGTGTTTGGTGATTTTTGTCCTGACTTGGCCGTGAACCCCTTGAGAAAAGCCCTCGTAGTTTATGTCTGGCTCAGATAAGGAAGGAAAGCTTGGACACCACAGAACTCGATTTGCTGGTTTCCCATGTGCAAAGAATGTCATTATTTTCACACACACACAGTTGGAGATAACAATAGCGGGGATGGCGGTTGTGGGAATCAGTAAGATGTTAAATTCTGAGATACGGTGGTATGGCTCATTTTATTTTTTCCCAAACACTGTTGGCTTTCTGTCCCTGAGAGGAAGGACACTTTTTGATGGCCCATGCATCTTATTATTATATTGAATCTGCCAAGTTTAGTCTGCCCCCTGGTGGTTCATGTGCACACCTACAGAAACAAACTTTTCTGCATAACCTCTCTTTGTGTTTTTAGGACCTGACGTCGGCTCTGACCAGGAAGATCACACTGAAGACCCCTCTCATCTCCTCCCCCATGGACACGGTCACAGAGTCGGCTATGGCTATTGCTATGGCGGTAAGACACCGCTGTGCCAAAACTGCTATTAAGAAAGAGCGCCAATTTTTCATTTATTGCCTAATTTTAATTCTGAAATTCTAATTTTGTTTTATTCGGTAGCTTATGGGAGGCATCGGCATCATTCACCACAACTGCACACCAGAATTCCAAGCCAATGAGGTCCGCAAGGTTAAGGTAAATAATGATGATGAATCCACATGTTTTTCACTAAAGTACAAACCTTAACCAACGTAACTTGACTCTCGCATGAACCATACCTTGACCTCTCGTTATTTTGTGCTGTCCCTATATAGGTTATGGTAATCATCTTCCATCTGTGTGTATGTATGTGTGTGTATGTTTTGTTTGTTAGTTGTTTTTTTGTATTTGCTGATTAACATGTACTTATTGTTGTGTGTCTTGGTGTGATGTTTTGCGCTGCTTTGCACAAATAAAGAGGGGAGAGAAAAAAATAATACTGGTAATAATTCGGTTTTGGTTTCTCTTTGTCGCCAGAGGTTTGAGCAGGGTTTTATCACAGACCCAGTTGTGATGAGTCCGCGCCACACAGTTGGGGACGTGTTCGAGGCCAAAGTAAGACACGGCTTCTCTGGTATTCCTATCACAGAGACGGGCAAAATGGGCAGCAAGCTGGTGGGCATCGTCACCTCCCGAGACATTGACTTCCTGTCTGAGAAAGACCGCGGCAAACCTCTGGAAGAGGTGTGTGTTTTCATGTTCTTTTTAAGGGAACTGATTCAGTTGACAAATGTTTGCGTTGGCATCACTCATTCGATTTGCTTCTTGCTTGTCGTCTCCAAGGCCATGACAAAGAGGGAGGAGCTGGTAGTGGCTCCAGCCGGTGTTACCCTAAAAGAAGCCAATGACATTCTGCAGCGGAGTAAAAAAGGTGAATAGAAGGTCATGTGTGACGGCAGCTTTTTCTAGTCAGATTTTGGTCACTCTCGTGCAATTTAATAACCTCGACTTTAACTTTCTCCACCACCAGGCAAGCTTCCCATTGTAAATAATAACGACGAGCTGGTGGCCATTATTGCCAGGACGGATCTGAAGAAGAACCGGGACTACCCGCTGGCCTCGAAAGACTCACGCAAACAGCTGCTGTGTGGCGCCGCCATCGGCACCAGGGACGACGACAAATACAGACTGGACCTGTTGGTGCAGGCCGGAGTGGATGTCATTGTACTGGTGAGTGATTCGATAGTTAAGGAGGCACGGACCAACGTTAGGTCCTTGTTTGAGCAGAGGTCACCTAGAAATACATGAAACTGTTTTTGACAGTAGATGACAAGTGATACAAGGGAGAGTGTACGGTCATAGGGTGGAAATTCCATGACTCGGCATACTATAACTTGGTGGAAACTTTCTGTCAGGTATTGTTATGTTAAGTAGGAAGAACAGAGTTTTGCCTGCCTGTGAAATATGCCTGTATGATACACACACTGCATGCATTCTCGGGTCCATGTCAGTCTACTTAACTCATGAATGTTTTTTTACATCCCCAGGACTCTTCCCAAGGCAACTCGGTGTATCAAATCAACATGATCAATTATATTAAGCAGAAGTATCAAGAATTGCAAGTGGTGGGAGGAAACGGTGAGTTTGTTGTTGTTGCCCTTTTTTTTGCCAGCCTCCTTTTATAATGCCAACGAAATCTAATAGTTTGCACACATTTTTTCCTCTTCTTCTTCTTCTTTTACCGACAGTGGTCACAGCAGCTCAGGCCAAGAACCTGATCGATGCTGGTGTCGATGCTCTGAGAGTCGGCATGGGCTGCGGCTCCATCTGCATCACACAGGAAGGTACGCAACGCACCCTTCTTTGCTCAACGCCTCATCTCCTGAACACCGTTACAACACGAGTACCGGAAATTTAATTCATCTCAATTTTCGTTAACGCGAAGGCGAGATGAGAATTGAGTCCTGAGCTTGTAGCTCATCAGTACTAGCTGTACCCTTAAGGAAAGGCCATCCGTTGCTAATGTTTAAAAATAAATACCCCGAGACCCTCCTTGTTGTCATGGTGATCTGCCAAGGCCTTATTCTGGGTAACCATGGGGACCCGCTTCTCGTGCTCAGACTGGGTCACGTTCGGAGGAGACGCGCTGAACCTAAAATAACTCTATTAGTCCTCACTTAAATAGATGCTGCTCTAGCAGGGCTGATCTGGCTTTGTTTGTTTTTTAACTGATCTGTTTCCATGGCGGCCATGTTGGATGTGTTTTCCTATCTTCTAGTCATGGCATGTGGAAGGCCCCAGGGGACCTCGGTGTACAAGGTAGCCGAGTACGCCAGGCGCTTCGGCGTGCCAGTCATCGCCGACGGCGGCATTCAGACCGTGGGCCACGTGGTGAAGGCTCTGTCTCTCGGAGCATCGACCGGTGAGGCTTCAAAGATCATGACACGGAGAAGAAGGCCTTGTCTGATAGTCTTCCCAGCAGCGATGCTGTTAGATCGGGTAATAAAAGACCACTGATAATTCTCTCCCGTCTCCCACTCCAGTGATGATGGGCTCGTTGCTTGCGGCAACCACCGAGGCTCCGGGGGAGTACTTCTTCTCAGACGGTGTGCGGCTGAAGAAGTACCGCGGAATGGGCTCCCTGGACGCTATGGAGAAGAGCACCAGCAGCCAGAAACGCTATTTCAGGTACGTGGGAGGCTCGAGGCAGTGAAAAGCCAAATTCCAAGAGATTTTAAATGCTGTGATTCCACTGGAGGAATATTGATTCATGTCTTTCCACAGTGAGGGCGACAACGTGAAGGTAGCCCAGGGTGTATCGGGCTCAGTCCAGGACAAGGGCTCCATCCACAAGTTTGTACCTTACCTGATAGCTGGTATCCAGCATGGCTGCCAGGACATCGGGGCAAAGAGTCTTTCTGTCCTTCGGTGAGTAAAGCGTGTGAGCCACTGGTTGTAAAAGCAACTGTTAACTTTTTATGTGCATTATGTTTTATCAGCTTTCTATCTTCCGCAGTTCCATGATGTACTCCGGAGAGCTGAAGTTTGAAAAGAGGACCATGTCAGCGCAGGTGGAGGGAGGTGTTCATGGACTCCACTCGTAAGTACAACAAAGAGAGAGAAGACTTTATTCTGGGACAAGACAGTCTTTACTTTGTGTCCTCTGTAGGGATCATGCACAAAGAAACAACAAAGCCTCCTTTTGAAAAAGAAGTTGGGACTGAATTGTTGTGGTAGAAACAAAATGTCTGTTGTTGCAGTGAGAGGAGCTTATGCCTTCTGTCAGTCCCAGAAGCAGGAATGGAAACTCTCTGACAGTCATAGAGGATTTCATCATTACGTTGCTAAGAAACAGTGTGGCTCCAATATTACTGTTCTTCCTGATGCGTTGGCAAATGCTCCAATGGGAAATAAGCCTGCTCTATAGTTGAGAGAAAGAAGGGACAATGCAGCAAATCAGAAAGGACAAATGCTAGTTTCTCTCCTGCTAAATGCATTCGGAAAACCAGTAACCAGTGCAAGTTACTGACATAAAGTGAATCTCAGTTAACGTACTTGTTGCAGCAATACTTTCAATTTACGTTCAAGCAGGCGCTGATTTCTCTCCCGATTTTTCTCTGCCTCCACAGTTACGAGAAGCGGCTTTACTGAGGCGGGGTGGGGAGGGGTATGAAGTGCAGCTCATCGGTGCACGTCTAACAGTGACCAAAATGTTAAAATTGCCACTTCTGCTAAAATACACACCACCCACTACACCCTCTCTGCCCTCTCCTCCGTCGTCTCCACCGTTACTCTCTCTCTCTCTCTCGCTGATCCCAGACGGCTGCTCTTTGGGAGGAACGAGGCACAAGTAGCGAAGTGAGAATCCTCAAATCCGACACCCGACTCCTTCTCTGAACACCTGGGATTTTTTTGCACTCAACAAGCGGCGCATTCAGGGTTTTTCGGAGTGACACACCTGTATCTCGAGTACGCAGCCGACCCCAATTTAGCATGCGTGGATGAACTGTGTGTGCGCGTGCGTGGTGAACCAAGGGTAGCGTGTGCCTGGCTGAGTGATCGAGTTAAAGATGTGTCTTTGGGCAACGAAGGTGAAGGCGCACTGTGTTTACTTGTTGATGTTGGAGGGTGTAAAACGGCCATGGTGCAAATCACATCAGCATCTTATCTGGCTTTTTTTGGGGGGGATCCACGTTTACCAGCACGTCTGAAGCCTCTCACATCCCAGCTCTTAAACACACCAGTACGTACAGAAAAACCAGACAAAACACTTGTCTCTCTATGTGAAGTGTATTGGTGTTTCATGGCAATCTTCCTGTTTGTTTTTTTCATTTTTAGGTCATTCAAGGTATAAGCTACTTAATGAACAGTAGCTGTTTATATTTCGGCGCATATTGGTTACTCCCCCCCCCCCCGTCTTGTGGATCCCGAGGTAGGAGATATTGGCCGTGCCGATGTATCCCGTTGACTTTGTATCCGTCAGTGTCTCCCTGCAATCAATAGACCGAACCCAGACCCGCTTAACATTTATGGGTGTTCATTTTCCCTTCTTACGACATCTTGACAAATAATCAATGTCCCATTTCAGTGCGTAGTGTTCATATGTTGAGCATGGAAGGGACCAGATCAGGTATGTTGGAAGAAAAAAACAAAACTAAAATGTATTGCATCAATCAAGAATAGTTCGAAATGAGGACTATTTCTCCCCGCCGTAATTTGAATACTTTTAGATAAATCAAACTTTATATTAAACCTGTATAGTCTTGGGGGGGGGCTTTGAATTGCGCATGAAGTGTTTTGATATGCATGTTTGTTTTTTCACTAAGCCAAACACGGCTGTATTTATATTCTGCATTATTGTAATTGCATACATACTGCCAAGTGTCTTTGCGCTTCCTCTTGACACTTTTCTTTTGTAATTTCGAAAACCAAAATTGGCGCAAGAAGTTCTCTTGTTACCGAGTCACTTCATTCCTGGTTCTCTGTTACCAGTTTTGTTTTCTTTCTAGATCATGTGTTTCTTTCTACCAGAGGTATGCCTTGAAACGGGGATGGATGAATGCTACACTCCCTCTCGACCCTTTTTCTTCCTTTTAAAACGGCATTGCTTGTGTTTATCATTCAGCTTATGTAGGAGTCCACTTTTCTATTATTTTCATACTGGATGTCCTTTTGGCCAGATGTAATTTCTTTTTTTTTTTTTTTTTTTTTAAATAAAATTTCCCAGATTGTAAGAGTTGAGTTGATTCCTCTAACATGCTAATGTATTTACCCTGCACAGGGTTCAGATGGCTGAAAAAAAAGCCTTGCAATTGGACAAAATTGCAAAATAAATGTACATGAAAATATATGGAGAACTATATACCTATATCCAGTTTGAAATGACTGCTGCTTGTATTCAGTTTCCCATCTAAAGAGATAATTCAGGTTTTTATTTGAAATGTCTTATTTGTAAAGTACTGGGTTCTGTTAGTCCATCTAAAAAGCACAAATATGGTCATAAAGTGAGATGTTAGGTTTACATTTGTTTTTATTTTTTTGTGCTGCAGTTTTTTATTATTTCAGCTTCGGGATATCGTGAAGCCGTTGCCAGAACATCGCAGTAGCTTCTGCAACCAACAACCAAAACAATAAGCGAAGGGCTTTTTAGATGGACAGAAAAGACTCGGTATTCATGAAAACCAATTGGGATGTTTTTGAGGAATATCACTTCAGCACATGTTTACAGTAAAAACACTCAACAGAGGTGTGTTGCTTTTGCTTTCAATATGATAAAACAAGAATAAATAAATCAAACATGTATGGACTTATGTCTTATTGAATATGAGCTGCAAAGTCGCATTGGACGTCACTTCGAAACCTTAAGTAAAATAAGCCACATTTTTTATAAAAGACACTTTATTAAACAATGTGTTTTAGCAAAGTTATGTTTGAGCATAAATAAATTAGTAAGCAAGTCATATAGAAGATGCTGCCAGTGTATGTAGAAGCACAGTCCAGTGGTAATAATTGCAGGATAAGGTAACATAGTGTGCGTTCTTCTCCAGTAGAGGGCACTGCTGCATCAGAACTGCAAGTAAGATGCGTGGCATAGTGGTATATGGACAGTTCACAGTTTAACAAACTGAATAGCAATCCCACTTATCTAACATGAGATTCAATGATGATGTTATGCTGAAATTGAAAACCTAAGACGTCAGTAGTATGTAATAAGTGCTTCATTTTAGTCACAGTACAGAACTATTATTTGGAATGTTGGAATGCAATAAAAACATTTGTACAAATAAGTTCTTGTTATCACCACTCAGTAAAATGTCACTATTCTTTTGACTGTATCAAACTTCACCAGCCTTAATCAAACATGTAAAACTTAGAAATGACCTTTTGGCTTTTGACATTCTTGGCACTTAGACCCTCGTAGACATTCACTAATTACCACATAAGAAAGCTCATCAAACCTCCCAAAACTTTATCTTGGCAGCTATAGGTTTTATGGTGCAAGCAAAAGCTACCATGCACTACCAAATAGGCTGTAAAAAACCTTGACAGTCCCCCTTCTGACATCCTTCTTAACAAGTCTTCTATGTAACTGTTTGACCAAACTGTCCTTTTTTATAAATCAATAGTCTCGCTGCAGATGCTCAAAGCATCGATTTGTCTGCAAACACCGATGAACTCCTCCTGCGCGGAGCGGTCTGCCTCAGACGACATGTCCAGGTCCAGGCTCTCTTGTGAGGCCGCACCCAGTGTATGATAGTGCCTCTGTGGGTCAGCATGGCCATGGTGGCCAGAGGATGCCATATGGCCCGTGCCCCCTTGCTGGAGAAGCTGCTGAGCGCGTCTCTCTGGGCTCGGACAGAGGACCAGTGAGGAGCCTCCGAAGGATTCTCGGAAGAGGGAACAGGAGGAAGAGCTGCCCCTCCAACGTTCAGGAGATGAGCAGCTGGAGGATGAGGACAGGGAGGGAGATGGTGGAGCACCTACAATTGTGTCTCCGTGAGATTGGGCGCATGAGGGCTGGGGTTGCGAGGCCATCTCCACGCAGGAAGAGGTTCGATAAAGTCCAGGGTCGGCTGAGAGAGGATCGCAGAGGCCGTTGCATTGAAGTGCACAGTGGTTGTTTATGGATAGATCACTGCAGCGAATGGGCCTGGCAGGGCTAAAGAGGCTCATGGGAAATAGGGCCTCACCGAAGAGTGCCTCGTCTATACTGCGACGCAGGTTGATGGGCGAAGGTGGCCTCAGGTCTGTGGTGGAGTCACTGGTAAACGAGGATCCACCTGAGGGTTCTCCGCATCCTCCATCCTCAGGTTTTCTTGAACCCTGTAAGTCCAAATCCAAGTCCAGGTCTCGGTATGCCAAGGCCCGGTTGCTGTGGTAGAGGAGGTCCAGGCCATTCAGACTGCTACCGAGCCTCTCATCCACCAGAGTGTAAAGAGGAAGGCTTTCTATCTCTCCAAGCCTAACGGTATCAACGATTGCAAGCTTCTCTTGCTGGCTCAGGGTCCATTGGTAGCTCCCAGGCAAGATGGGCGACTTGGACGCCAACAGTTCAGTCCAGCAGCTTCCTGCTGACGGGAGGTGGTCAGAACAGTAGACTGGTTGTGCTACCACCAAGGCTAAGGTGAGACAAACCCCAAGCTCACATAGTCTGCAGCTAAACTGGAAAGCCCACCAGGGCCAAGGGTGGAAGACCTCCTCTCCACCTGCAACACCCATAGCATTGAGCATTGCATACAACTGCAGTCCTGCACATGCTAAACAAAACAGTGCTGAAATACAAACGGTTACAGCTGCACGGTCCCAGTCCCGGCTCTCAGCAAAGGGGCAGCGGTTGTAACGTTCAGCAGGTGTTGGAGACGTGTTATTCAGGTGGTAGATGTGCTTTGAATCTGCCCGAACGTAGATGTAGAACACAAAATAGGCTGCAGACAGAAATGTGGCCAGTGCAACAAAGGTCCCACGGGAGAGTAGTGAAAGAAAGAGGCAAAGGGGAGGCTTTTGCTGGTAGAGCTTCAGTAATGTCACCGGTCCGAATGCAGCGCCAAAGTGCACGACAACTAGGCAGGCCAGGAAACAGGGTCTCTGGAAAGCTGAGTAGGAGAGCTGCATCCTCGAGCGCATGGAGAGTAGAAGGAAAACCAGACCGAATGCTGCAGTCAAGCAGGGAAACGGTGCCTCGTAGAGTATCAGTGAGGCCTCTGCAGAGGGTAAGCGGTCCTGGTGGCCGTAGGCATCGTACAGGAGGGAGAAAGATCTGGTGCCACCAGCAGCTAGTAGAAACAGACTGACCAGGGCAAAGTAGCCACAGCCGGATGGGCATCGTAGAGGCAAGCAGAGGAGATTGAGAGCCGAGGCTAGCGTTAGCATCGCGAAGATGCAACCGGCGCCATACACATGAGCCTCCCAGGCCAGGCCCCAAGCTGCCATGGCACTGTTCCAGTCGGTGTACAGCGGCACCAGCATGGGTGGAGCTGGGATCAGGAAGGGGTTGGCGGATTGGTTGGTGGCAGTGGTGTTTTGTGTGGGCTTGACGTCCGAGGAGGTTGTTGAGTCCCAGGTGTCGGAAACGTAGCAGATCCCGGAGCGCTCTTTATTGCAGTCTGGAAGCAAGGTGGCGTCACTGTCCACCGGGTTGAACATATAGTCTTCAGTGTCCAGAGGGATAAGGGGAGTTTCTGGGGGAAAGAAAATAGAAAATCAAATTGACATTGAATAGCTGGCATGATAAGCAATATAATGACATTTGAATGAGTAATTAAAATGAGCTGTAATCATCTACTTTTAATTCCCTTATAAGCATACTAATCATCCACTCATGAGAATGCACAGAAGCATTTAATCAAAGGTTCGAACTGTCTGAGCCATAGAAGACATTGGCTCAGGTCCAGCAAGCTGAAAGGGTGCTTTCTGCCTAATGTGCTAATCCTGTTTAGAAGCTTGTATGAAGGCAACTTCATACTGAGCTGGACCAAAATCAGAGGGTGTGTGTGTGTGTGTGTGTGTGTGTGTGTTAAAGAACAACCCACTCAGAACCACAGAGCTGGTTTCTCTTGCATTACATAAGCCATCTGGAGTTTCCATGCAAGTACAGTTAATGATGATTGTCTTAGATGTGTTTTAGCACTGCAGAGGAAATGGTTTAGCTTTGGAAGTTAAGGGGTAACCATGTGTGTTTGCGTGATCAAAAGAGACGCCTGCAAAGCTCATCTGCGCCATACATGTTTATGTAGTTCAATTACTGGAGGATGACTTGAACAAGTCGCTTCACACAGCATAATGCCTCACAGATGGGCTAAAAGACAAGCATTTTTCAGCCTCCTTGTCTCCGAGCTTCACATCATAGACCTTGTTTTTTCATAAAACACCACCTTAAAACATCCCCATCGCACACGCTATCTTTCCACCACAGAAATGAACATATTTCGACCTTCCGTCGAAGGATGGCAGCTAAAAACCCCTCGCCCCTTAAAAAGAAAAAGGTTGTCAAATGCCGCAGAAGAGGAGCAGCTTCTGACAGCATCTCCATCATTTGAAGTGTCATTTCTGCGTGAGATTAGAAACTGCTGGTGTATACAGCCCAAAAGTAATGTAGCTGTTGTGTACAACAGTGAAAAAGAAGGGGGTTTAAATACATCCAGCGAAGCCTGGTGAATACATTATATCTGGTGGTGATGTTATGTGCCAGTTTAAGAACTTAAATGTGCAGACATCAGCACCGCAAAACCCCTACATCTTTGCGTATAGATTGACGATGTCTAATTCGTTTCCTATAACTAAAAGCAGGATCTGTGTGGTTTAGCATTTTTATTTTAAGTCTTTCTCATCTGTCTTTTAATGTTTTTTTTTATGGGTTGTATTCTGGTGTTTCCCATCCCACCCTGTCCCCCAATTCGCTCCTTTTATTTATGATTTTCCTGCCTCCTAAAAGGGGAAACTCCCATAGGTGGGTTTGTTATTTTTAAACTGGGGCAGTTTTCTGTTCTAGACTGCCCTGATTTTTACAAGTCTCTTCCCATGCTTTATGTTTTCTGCTGCCCCCCCCCCCCCCTTCAAATAGGTCCAATGTATGGCAGCTGCGGCTTCCATTATGGTTAAGATGTGACAGTCTGCAGCAGAGGAGAACGAAATGGCACTAACTCTGTGTGTTCATATTGGAGTGTCCACCGGTGCCTTTGCATGCGTTTACACTGTTCACACTTGCTGTTTTCTAGTACCCCTGCTGAACAACGCCTTGCTCTTCAGATTTATTTCAGACATCCTGAGCTGTCTTTTGAAGCTTAATCACGTCCTCAACAGGAGGAAAAAACAAAGACGGAAGAGTTTCTGAGAGGCTTTGTTTTCGCATAAATACCCTGTTTTTTAATTAAACCCTGGTGGATCTTGAATAGCAAAAACCTGAAATGCTATTGAGATGGCTCCCTTGTGCATCATTCTCATAATGATCCTTCAGCGCCACACTAGACTGTTGTTATGAGCAAATATGGCAGGGAAGAGAATAAGGCAGATATGTGTGAACACCAGTCAGTACATTCAGATGTGCCACACATTCACAGGCTGCTGCTCTGCCAGGACCTTGCAGGCTGTACAGCCACTAAGTCTGTTTAGCAACTGGACTAAACATGCTGTTCCATATTGACATTTAATATGCCAGGAAGGAAGGACTGAATTATATAAACACAGTGGTTCATTTAATATCACAAGTGCCCGGAGGTGATTTGTTGAAACATTAGCAGCTTCAAATGAGGTCACTAAATATGTCAGTGCTCCAAAAAAACCTGCACTGTCTCACTGCACTGACA